GCATGACCTTGGCTCACTGCAACCTCTATCTCCCGGGCTCAAGTGATCCTCCTGCCTCAGTCTCCCGAGTAGCTGGGATTACAAGGCCTGTGCCACGACGCCCAGCTAAGTTTTGTATTTTTAGTAGAGATGGGGTTTCACCACGTTGGCAGGGCTGGTCTCAAACTCCTGACCTCCGATGATCTGCACACCTCAGCCTCCCAAAGTGCTGGGATTACAGGCATCAGCCACCGCGTCCAGCCTCTTCAACAGTTTTCATGGGGAACTTATCCAATAAGAACCTTCAGTCAAAAACCCCGTATCTTGTCTCTGTTTCTTTTTGATGAGATGAATCTACCCCACTGGATTTCAGTGACTTAGCAGATGTGAAAACGCCCAAGCGTGGGGTCTGTGCTAGCGGGCAAGGCAGATGAGCGGCACATGGCTTACAGATTCTCTGGCTGTAAACTCCCTGTGCTGTCTCAGGGAGTGTTAGGCAGCCCAGTTATGAGACTGATAAGGTATAGCATACCCTGTAGAAAATGGTCATCAGAGAGTAAAAGAAAGAAGAGATAAGGCATTTCAACTCTGAATGGAAAAATCCAGAAGAGCCAATGAAGACCCTAAGTCACGATGCATGTGGTAAAACCGTCTTGAAGTTCTTGTATCATAAACTGTTTTTAAATCATTAAACGAATAAACAAAAACCCCCAAAGGACAACTCAAACCTCTAACTTCAGCTCGAAACTCTGAAGACAGGCTCAAATTACAACTTTAGGGCATTATTCTAAATTTACTAGGAAACGTCCATTTATTTCCCCCAAAGGAGATTTTTAAACCTAAGGGAGCCATCTGGTGGCTTGAGTGTCTACTAATTAAAACCCTTCTTGTGGGAATCTTGAAGTCACTGAAGTAAATGGCTAAGACATGCCAGAGTTGACAAGAAACATTCTTATCCTGCATAAAAATAAAATATTGCAATTTAGACAAAATCACACCAAAATTCAAGATGAGCGGTAATTCTGGTATTTTTTTCTATCTGCTTTAAGTAATGTCTATGAATCATTAAAAGTTGTCTTTTGACCCCTACATCAAGATTGCATGTTTCAATATAATAGGAGACAACCCAATCATTACAAAACTAGAACTCGAACCAAAATACATGCGTCAGTGGCTTGCTGAAATGATACACGGGTTTAACGAGCTGTGGAGCCTGCTCTTACTTTGTAAGGAGTCAGTGGAGAAGGGTAGAAGAGAAGCTCCCACTTAGAAAAAGAAAATTTCAACTCCCGAGCATTGTAAATAAAAATAATTTAGTATGAAATATACCCTTTCTTTCAGGTTTATAATGAAACACTGTAGTTGTTAATGATTTCAGTCATGCTTTCAATGCTGAAATTTCTTTCTTTGCAATGAATCTTTTTTTTTAAGACAGGGTCTCACTGTGTTGCCCAGGCTGGAGTGCAGTGGTGTGGTCATGGCTCACTGCAGCCTCAAACTCCTGGGCTCAAGCCATCCTCCCACCTCACCCTCCCAAGTAGCTGGGACCATAGGTGTGTGCCACCACATCCAGCTAATTAGGTTTATTTTTAGTAGCGATGAAGTCTCACTATGTTGCCCAGGCTGGTCTCAAATTCCTGGCCTTAAGTGATCCTCCCACCTCAGCCTCCCGAGTAGCTAAGACCATAGGCATGTACCAGTAAACCTGGCTATTTTTATTTTATTTTATTTTTTTGCAGAGACGGGGGTCTATGCTGCCCAGACTGGTCAAAATCTTTTTTTTCATGGAGAAAATGTACATGTATTGTTCTTCACCAGGAAGGAGAAAAGACCACTTCAAAACTTCAAATGGTTACCTTGGGTTAGAGGTAGTTCTGCCACCAATAATTTCACAAATTTTTCTTCCATTGTCTCCATCACTCCAAGCTGCCCAGCAGTGAATATGTTACCGGGAATGATGATACTTATTCTTTATGAGGAATCTCCAGCGGTTTTCACGAAAGCCTCATTACACTGATTTTACTAACAACCACGAGGAAAAAGCAGTGAAGTGCTCTTCATTATTTCCCTCAGAGTTCACTGTTAAAGCCGAACTTGGCTGTAAAAATGTACCAAAAAATTGGCATAAATGTTGAAAATCAAAATGTAATTTTTAAAATTACTTACAAAACCAGTACAAAGACTGCTTTTTAAAAAGACACTCTGTCTGATGAATCGTACTTCAAACCCAGTGTAATAAAGGACCAGGAAATGCACATGATCACTGGGCTACTTCTCAGGTAAAGGTATTTTGTTTTTAACACTGATCAATACATTTAAAATGAGAAAATATCTTCAGACCCATGCTTTAGGAGGAAATAAAGAAAAAAGAAAAAAAAAAGAGTAAGATAAAAAAGAAAAAAACAGAGAAGATACCACAGCAAGCCCCCAGTGAACACACACACCCTAGTTTATCTGCGTAGAAGCCCCGCTCATGGGATCCCGGGTTGCCGCTGCTAGTCCACTCTTTCCTTCAACTCCCCTCCTTGCTCCAATAAGAGAGTCCCAACAGCTGGGTCGTGGTTGATGGTACGAGCCTGCCTCTACTCCCATCCTGAACTGCAGTGAACACCACGCTAAGTGTGTGCACTGGGTCAACACGCCAGTTCAAGTCCAGCCACTGACTCATGTTTTTTGGTTCGAGTTCTAGCTGTGTAATCGGGTTGTCTCCTATTATATTAAAACATGCCATCTTGAACTAGGGTTCAAAAGACAACTTTTCATACAGTTTTAAAACGTTTCAGCCAACGTTCCAGGCACACTGTCTTCAATGATGCCATACTGTTAATTTAGTTGAACTGCTGAAATTGACATGATGCAGTCACAGCCTTCATCTCGGGAGATGGAAAAGGGGCAAAGAAGGCGCAGGGTGCTGGGTGTGCAAAACACCAGTGTGACAAGTTCTCATGACGTGGCACATGCTTATTGCTATGAACCAACTGCATTGTCACTCGCAGAGCCCCGTCTCCCATGCACCACTGAGGCTTCTGAACACATTGGCTCAACACGTAGAACACTGAGATGGATCAACAGGCAGACCCAATGCAAATTTCTCTGGCAAAGTCAAAGAAGTTGGAAGGTCTGATGCAACGGTTCTCAAGCTGGGGTGATTCTGCCCGCAGGGGACATGTGGCAATGTTTGGGGACTGGGGATGCTACTGGGATCTAGTGGGTGGAAGCCAGGGGTGCTGCTCAGCAGCCTGCAATACACAAGACATCCTCTGCAGCAAGGAATTCTCCAGCCCCACATGTCAACCAGGCTGAGAATCCCCGGCCTAAAGGGATTTGAGAACCATTTCAGAGAGATAAAAGTGTGACCCAAGGTGTCCCCTCATTCTCCCGCTTCCTGGAACTTGATGATAGACGCTTAGTACTGTGCCTGACACAGCAGGCATTCAATAACTGTTGACGGAATTGATTAAAATCAGCAAAATGGGCCGGACACGGTGGCTCACACCTAGCACTTTGGGAGGCTGAGGGGGGTGGATCACTTGAGGTTAGGAGTTTGAGACCAGCCTGGCCAACATGGCGAAACCCTGTCTCTACTAAAAATGCAAAAATTAGCCAGGCATCGTGGAGCATGCCTGTCATGTCAACTAAGTGGGAGGCTGAGGCCGGAGAATTGCTTGAACCCGGGAGGTGGAGGTTGAAACGAGCTGAGACTGTGCCACTGCACTCCAGCCTGGGTGAGACAGAGACTTCATCTCTAAATAAACAAACAAATAAATAAAGCAAAATGCCATCCCATTCTTCTCCCCACAAAGATCCAAGTATAATCTGATTGTGGCATCGACTTCCCTGAATTTGTATATTTAACTTTTGAAAATGCAGCATACTACATCACATGGTGACATGACCTTGTGTATGTAAAAGCTAGATTTTCCCAAAATCATTTCAGCCTCGAATTGCGCCAATCACTTCTAGCCAAAAGTTAAAGTTTCACAGAATCACTGCATCCATCTACAGAGTATTTGTTCAACTGTTTGTTGAATATTTGGGGCATTTTTCTATTACTTATTTTAAAAGTGGAAAATGAAAAATGCACCTGAAGCAGCTGGTGATAAGAAATGAAGATCTCACAGCAGTCACGAATTTGAGAAGAGACAAATATGGAACTGATCCGAGAGAACAGAAGTGACCGACTGGATGTTCCCTGGTCGCTAGGTAGACCAGGGTTGAGATTTAGTTATAAAAGAATGAAAAGCAAAAAGCTACAGGCACGGGGAAATACAACATCAAGAACTGGGATGACTCATGTGTAGCAGCTGAAAACGTGGATCTCATGGAGGTAGAGGGTGGAAGATAGAAACCATAGGCTGGAAGGGTGTGGGAGGCAGCTGAGGGGGGTTCGCACATGGATACAAACACAGTTAGATAGAAGGAATAGTTCTAATGTTCCATAGCAGAGGAGGGGTACTTTGGTTAACAACCGCATTGTATATTCCAAAATAGCTAGAATACAGGACCTGAGGCGTTCCCAATATAGAAAAGAAAAATATTTGAAGTAATGATACTTCGACTATCCTGACTTGATCATTACACTTTCTATACAGGTAACAAAATGTCACATATACCCCATAAATAGGTACAAGCATTATGTATCAATAAAAAACGGTAACTAAAAGACCAGGGATAATTAGACATCATGGTGTGTGTGTATTTTTATGTTCATTCATTCATTCATTCATTCATTCATTCATTCTTTTTGACATGGAGCCTTGCTCTGTTGCCCAGGCTGGATCAGCTCACTGCAACCACTGCCTCCTGGGTGCAAGCGATTCTCCTGTGTCAGCCTCCCGAGTAGCTGGGATTACAGGTGCCCTCCATCATGCCCAGCTAATTTTTTGTATTTTTAGTAGAGACAGGGTTTCACCATGTTGGCCAGGCTGGTCTCAAACTCCTGACCTCGTGATCCACCCACCTCAGCCTCCCAAAGTGCTGGGATTACAGGCGTGAGCCACTGCACCTGGCCTTAATGCACCTTTTTTTTTTTTTTTATAACTATAAGTCTTTATTTTCCATACAAGGTGCCATTACAGGTAACCATCAGAGAACACACTGCTATTTTCAAATATACAGAACTGAACAAAAGCATTTTAGCATGATGCCTTACTGTACACAGAAAACTGGTGAACATCTTCAGATGCTAAGACTAGGAAATAAAATGGGTTAATGCTATTTGTTGATAGTTTATGAATCACTCAGCAGTGTTAATATAGGCCATCTTTACCTGAAAGCAGAATTACAATCACTCATTCTGGCAGCACTGGGCAATTCTAAAATGCAGTTCTAGTGAAAGGTAACAAGGAACAGATGCCATGTCTGCTTCTGAAGGGAGTGACTGATTTGGAACCAGGCTCTGCAGATTTTAAGAAATGATACAGCCCTTTTAACAGCTTAATATTATATACTTTTATATAAAGTATATTTATATAAAAATATAAATATACTTTTATATAAAGTATATTTATATAAAAATATAAATATACTTTTAAACCTCTCTGGGCTGGGGTCATGTAAGTGTATTGCTCCATTTTGCAGAGCAGTGCATATTTTGTGGACTATGCTGTGTATGAAGGTAGGCAGTTGTCCAGATTCATATTCTTAACATATAACATGCCTACAGCGGTGGGGGCTGACAGCGGGGTTGGTCAGCAGGGGGACCATAGGTAAGAGACTTAGAGAAGCCCACTGCCTCCCCAGTCAGCAGCGCCTCTGGAGGACCAATGGGGAAGGAGAGTCCTGGCAACTCACCAGGACCACGGTCTGTGACAGGGACGTCCTTACAGTGCAGATGAGGGTTCCTGACCATCTATCACAGCCTGATGGCACCAGCTATCAACATAACCCCATTCCCTCCTCCTGCTCTGATCCCATCCAGCCAAGTGATCTTCTGATTGTAGTTTGCCTTTTTAAGTATTTTTGCCTAAATGGGAAAGACGATGCTACTTAGCAAACATGAGCCCACTGGATAATTATACATTTCACTATGAATGAATAATACTGGCATTCTGTCTCTGCCGAGGGATTTTGTGCCGACTAAAAGATCCACACTTGGTGTGTTGACAAACCAGCTGAGGTCTAGACGTTGGGCTGCGGGGCCTCCATCTGGGTAAATGCCACTCGTCGGGGGCCCTGCTTACATGCCCACCTGCCTGCCCTTCCCCATGTCTGACCACATCCTAACGAACATCTGTAACTGAAGGGAGGACACGTAGAGGAGCCCCAACCCTTCTTTCAGATTTCTACAAACACTGATCAAAGTCTACATTCCCTCCCGTTTCTTTTAGGTTTTTGTTTTAACCAATAAGCTGCCAGTGCACAAGTGGGTACCGTGCCAACACAGAAACCATTCCAGCCTCAAATGTCATTGCTGGGAGAAGCCAGTTAGCAAGAGGCACCCCTGGAATTGGTGGGAGCAAAGTTAACCTAATGCCACACTTCACCCACCTCAGGGTAAAATACAATTCATGGGAACCCCGAAGCCAAAACAAGACTTAGATAAACCAAAGGCACTGTCCACACATCACACGTCGCCTATCCTCTGACTCTTAAAAGAGGCTCCACTTAACAGAAGCTCTAAGGGGATCTGAAATAGGTACTATGTCTCCAGGAATGTCGAAAGCATCTTTTCCACGGGGAAGTAGTTTTTTTAAATGCTCATGCCTTCCTCCTTTCACGGAGGGTGGGTTCTGAGGCTCTCCCACGTGTGGAACTGACAATGGCACCTGCTGCTGCTAAGCTCAGTGTCCTCCCCTTCGCTATTTCATTTTTCTTATGAGCACAGGGGTGTGTGTGTAGTGAGGGGGCACAATAGAGTCTAATTCTCTCAGCCTGATCATCGTACAGCTGCAACTTCCCCTCCGTTATGTACCCCCAAATTCACATGTTGAAACCCTAACCCCAGTGTGATGGTATTAGGAGGTGAAACCTTTGGGAGATGACCAGGTTAGATGATGTCAAACGAGTGGGGCCCCCACGATGTGGTTAGCGTCCCTATGAGAAGAGATGCCAGAGCCCTCTTTTTGACTACAACATGAGGACACAGCGAGAAGGAGGCTGTCTGCAAACCATACACAGAGCCCTCACCAGGAACTGAATCTGCCACCACCTTGCTCTTGGACTTCCAGCCTCCATAACTGTGAGAAACACATATTTGCATTGAAGCTGCCCAGTCTCCAGCGTTCTGCTGCAGCAGCTCCAGCTGCACCCTTCTTCACCCTGTGCATCCCTCCACGGCACTGCTACAGGCTGGCTTGGAACTACAGTTATGTGTGCGCCTCACAGATATGTATCCTGACATTCCTGAACCTGCAACACTGACCCCTGCAGTGTGAGGCTTCCAAAAACATCAGTTCCTATTGTCCCTGGAGAGCTTCAGCTGAAAACAGTGGAGCTTCCCTTAGGGCGGGCCTTGAGCTTCTTGGTGAAGTTCTTAAAAGCATCTTCCACATCTGCTGTGTCCCTTGTACCTGATAAAATGCAGGAATCAGCTGGTAAACCTACTCCGTCCCTCAAAAGCATTGATAAACAAAGCTAACAGGGGAAGAGGTGATACATCTGTTGATCACATTTTCCACTGAAAAACTTACAAGAAACCTGATCTGCTGGTAGGGCACAGAGAGAATCTAAAATCACATCCAAGAAAAACATTTTGCCTTTATGGGAGGTAAGTATCTAAATAGAAATATATGGAGAGAATTTTATTTTGGACCAAGTTATTTTTCACAGCATATTGAAAAACAAACGTCTGATCATCATTGCTGTAATGCTCCCTTCATTCTAGACCAGCACTGTTGTTTCTGTAAAAACATGTAGACGGAGTTGATATTTAGATCTGCCAGAAAGGACAGAGACCAAAGTGGTGTGCAGACCCTGGCTCAGGGCCACAGCGTCCTTCCCTGCCTCATATAACAGGGAATGCAACGGCATCCGCCTCCTCTTGTGAGAGTACAGAATACTTTGCCTGGCACTACTGTCTTTGAAAAGACTGGCCCGCAGTACCAAGAAGCACCAAGTGCCCTGGAAGATGGTTTTAGCATCTCCATACTCTGACAAAGAAAAATATAAACATAAAAACGTCAAACATTCTGAAACTCCAAAAGGCAGCAATGAAGGGAGTATGTGAGAGCTCTTCCAACGTCACATTCTCATGCATATTTATCTACAAGCAAGCCTGCTGAGTTCTTTACTGTCTATCAGTAAAGAGGGACTGCATCTCCTTTGCCTTTAAATGCCGGCCCTGCAAAGCAAGGTTTGCGTTTCTTGCTCTGTGTTTTCCCCCTCCGCCTGCAGGTGGCGCCCCTGTTCCAGTCCGCTATGGCCACCGCTGAAAATGGCTAGGCTAGATCTTGTACTCCTTAGAAACGAGTTCTTGCCACATCACCTTATGCGATGAAAAGAGTCGGTTTTCTGTTTTGCTTTTAGCCAGAAACCAACTGTTCCTGGAATCACAGGGCCAGAAGACTTGATTAAGCTGAAATTAATACCAAGAAACAGAAGGGGAGAAAAAGAGGACAGACTTCCATAACTGGGAGCTCTATCCAGCAACAGACTTATGTGGGGGCTGGATTTTGACTGCGGGATGAAACAGACAAGCAATATATTCAAAAGCTTAATCCACCCAACAAAGATCCATGTTACAGTCTGAACGAGTTGATGAACACTCCAATAGTGACTGATCGAATGTCATACGCAACAGAGATATGGATGACTTTTTATACCTGGTGTACACTCAGGGGTACGTGTCGCTGATGGAGTCGTGCTCAGCCCGGATGCCTCTGTTTATATACTAGAGGTATTGCTGTGTGAGTAGTTATTTGTTCTTAGTGGAATACAGTGTAGTTCTTTACATACACCCCCCACAACCCGCCCCGCTTGCCTGGGTCCTGACTCCTAAAGCTGCCTTGTCACTGGGAAAAGCTGGATCGCATTCTGGGCAGCAGCAGGTGGCTTAATCCAAGGCTTGCTGGTGGCAAATTACCCCAGACCCCATCCCACGAAGTGCAGAACCCGAGCCCAAAAGAAGTCTGAGCACCCACCTGGTCTCTCCAGTCACTGTCAAGAGGGCTAACAACATTAACATACAAAATACTGTATCAAAGGCATCTGTTTGCTTCTCTGTCTCTGCCACTAATCTGTGGACTCTTTATTTTTCATATTCATATTTTCCATAGGTCATGTAGTTTCTAGCATATAATAGATGCTCAATAAACACGTATGGAATGAATGACAGGGCACAGCCAAATTACTGAAAGTTATCAAGAGATTGTCCGGAAATATTCTGGTGACTGCAGCATAGCACTGTTATAACGTAAATCAATGTCATTCCATCTGGATCCGGATACACACTTTGCGTTCTAAGTGTGGAAACTAAAGATGAAATTAAGTGTCTTCGAAGTTGATAGTCGCAAATGGTAACTGTTCACTTTCTTTTGAAATATGATCTTATACATTGCTTTAAACATTTATATAGTCTCTCATTTAATCCTCATAACAATCTGTGCGGTAAATACTATTACGATCACCTTTTAAAGAGAGGAAACCGAGGCACAGAAAAGTTAAGAAGTTTGCTCAAAGTCACACAGTAACTTGAAGAGTCAGGATGCAAACCTATGCGGTCTGACTCCAGGGCTGGGGAAATGAAAACAAAAAACTGGGGCATAGACTCTCCTCCTTCAATTCCCTTCCTACTGGCTTTGTATCAAAGAGAGTCTCTCCTTAGACATTTCCCAATTGCTAAACATGCCTACAATCCACCAGCTACCACAAAATTAAAAAGTTAAACAAAGTAACAAAACTCGGCAGAAATACTTTGAAACTGATCAAATCATAAATCTAAATGATTTCCTGAGGCATTAAGTAAACAGATACTTTCATGGATGTTGCTACAGAGAGGAAACGGAATTGTTCCATAGTCCCACAGCTATGGAAGACATCGGGTGACAGATTAAAACACAGAGACCCTCCTCTCTACCTCTGTGTACCTAGAGCACTGAGTTTCCTTTTCCTGTGAAAAAGCTTCTTGCTGTTTCTGAGTTTACAGACTCATAGGTTTGGGCTGTCTCAATACTAGATATTTTTACTCCCCAAAGATTTCAGAATGCATTTGGTTCCTTGTATCTGTCAAATTTTCATTTTCCCTCCTTAGACTCCGCATTGCAAAGTCCTTTCCATTTGCGCGTTTGTTTCAACAATGGCAAAGAGGTGGGGACAGCTGGTGCCTTCTGCAGCCACTGTCTCCCTTTACCAAGAAGAAAAAAAAATCTTCCAACCACTGCCTTAGCACTCGTCACATTTTCTCAGCCAAGAATTTTCTCAGCTACAGTGTATTCCATCTTTACAAGCCCACAAGGCCTTTGTTTTTTTCTAACTTGCCATTTACATAATTGTGGAGGCTGGAAGCTCCATCGGCTTTCCCAGAACCTCCACAAAGAGGTTCTCACCCGCCCCCTACCCAGGTGACTCATCCAGGGGGAAGGTCTAACAAGGAAGAAAGACGTCTGAGGCTTGGACCTGGGCGGCCACCTTCTGCCAAAAGATCTGTGCCCACTACGCTCATGCCACAGTGCAGGCCCCAGAGCAAGGACGCCTGCTCCCTTGCCTGAGACTCTAACTTGGATGCTGTTAAGAGATGCAACTCCGGGCTGGGTGCTGTGGCTCATGCCTGTAATCCCAACACTTTAGGAGGCTGAAGTGGGCAGATCATCTGAGGTCAGATGTTTGAGACCGGCTTGGCCAACATGGCAAAACTTTGTCTCTACTAAAAATGCAAAAATTAGACAGACATGGTGACGTGCACCTGTAATCCCACAGCTACTCGGGAGGCTGAGGCAGGAGAATCACTTGAACCTGGGAGGCAGAGGTTGTAGTGTGCTGAGATCGGACCACTGTACTCCAGCCTGGGTGACAGAGCAAGACTCTATCTCCAAAAAAAAAAAAAAAAAAAGAAGAAGAAAAAGGAAAAGAGGTACAACTCCTCCCACCTCTTCTCCCAGCTCCCAGTTTCCAGCCCAAGGTGAGGCAAGCTGCCAGCAACCATCTCCTCAGTCCTTCACCTCCTCCTAGCTTCAATCCTCTGAGGTGCCTTCTGGCTTTCAGATCTTTTGATGACACGAAGACCTCCAGATCCGGATTTGAATCCTGGTTCAGTTCAAATCTCCAGGGCATCCTCTCCCACACCACACACTGTGTTAGGCGCTGCTGATGACACAATTCATCTCGGTCCTCAAAGCTCTTACCCTTCCACCCTCTAAGCTGCCGTTCCCACTGGGTCTTATTCTGTTGTTAGTTATGCCTCGTACACAGGAGTAATAAGGATTAGATGACTTGACACACCCAGCTATTCGATTCCACACTGTGAAACATGTTCACTTCCACTGTTTCTTCTGATTCTTACAATATGTGAGCAGGGCAAGGCACGCACTGACCTATCTTCCAGAGGTGGAAACCTCAGCTCAGAAGCTACAGAACTGGCTCAAGGGAACACAGCTGGTAAAAGGTAAAGATTCCTTCACTCCTAAAGTTCCTTATTATTTTCTTTCTTTCTTGAGATGGAGTCTCCCTCTGTTGCCAGGTTGGAGTATAGTGATAAGATCTTGGCTCACGGCAACCTCCACTGCTCAGGTTCAAGCAATTCTCCTGCTTCAGCCTCCCGAGTAGCTGAGATTATACTACTCAGGGACACATACGTGGAACGGCTGGGGGATCCACGGAGGCCCTGGCTGGAAATGACTGTACCGTTTGTACAGCACTAAAATGCACTGTGTTGTAGAAACATATTCTGGCCTTTAGAGAGCGGAGGTTAAACAAAAGACAGTGGGGGCCGGAGCCACAAAGTCATTCTTAGTCAAAGTTTAGCACAGGATTCTACTTAGGGTTAGAGGGATGGGGAGGAAAACCCATTTGTGGAGTATCTCCTCTGGCCTGCACTCTGTGCTAAGCATATTTAAATCCTCAGAAATCCTCCCAGCAGAAGGCCTTGAAGGAAGCATGTGTATGGCTAATTTTGCAGCTATGAATGCAGGCGCTGAGAGGGTCTTGCCCGAGGTAATGAATGGCAATGGCAGGTGCGCAAGGCCCCCTGGTGTTTTTGCTATGCCACGCTTCCACCAAACATGTACTTGTCCTTATCATACTGGAAGAATCCAAGAGAGATTAGAGACAAGAAGCTATCATGCTGAATACATTGGCCTCTGCCCTCTATGTTCTGGAATCCCCGGAGCTGGGCAAGGCTTCCCGTCCCCATCTCTATCTTCTGACTGCTCGCCCTGCGTCTGCCCTGTAACAAGCTCCAGCAGACACTCGCTCTCCTTCCTCCACAGGCCCGGCCACCTGCCTTGCTGCCGATGTTTTATTCGACCCTCCTCCTCTCCTCTCCCTTGTAATAAACACTTTAAATTCTTGTTGGGAAGAGGATATGGGATGCCAACTTGGATTAGTAAGTGAGAACTCAAAATCAAAATGACACAGATCAAATTTTACCCCAGTCGATACAAACAGAACAACAAAAACTTAACATATTTAAAACAAAAAAGCATGATTACACTTCTGATAGGCTAAACTTACAGTGAAACCTTAACTAGCCAGGCCTCCACTAATTGGTACTCTGAATAACTGGAATTACTTTTTTCTGAATTCTATTAAGCGAAAGAAGAAATTGACAGCTGAAGTACACCCACGGCTGACTGGACGGAGCAAATTCCAGGCTATGTCCCGAAGCTGGGCTCTGTCGCCCACCCCTTCTGTAACCTTGTCTTTCTCCAGCTGGGAAACTCTTTTATGTGCTTGTTAAGTTTTATTTTAAATATCTTTGCGATGGGAAATGTCTTCCCAAACCGCACCGTTTGTCCCAACTTCCTTTAAAATCCCGGATACATTCATACTTATCTCCCTCTATTCCAGCGTGCCCCACTCTGAATGGCCATCATGCTGATATATCTGTTTTTTGTGCGTGTCACAAGAGTATAGCACAAAACCAGTGCTTAAAGATTGCCTGTTTCAAATAATAATTGAGGTAATAAAGGGAAAACAGAGATCTTTTCTACATTCTTTTTTTTTTTGAGACAGGGTCTTGCTCTGTCGCCCAGGGTGGAGTGCAGAGGCACAATCTTTGCTTCCTATAACCTCTGCCTCCCAGCCTCAAGCTATCCTCCCACCTCAGCCACGCAAGTATCTGGGACTACAGGCACACACCACCATACTCACCTAAGGGTTTAAAATTTTTTTTTGTAGAGACGAGGTCTCACTATATTGCCCAAGCTGGTCTTGAACTCTTGAGCGCAAGCGATCTTCCTGCCTTGGGTTCCCAAAGTGCTGGGATTGCAGGTGAGAGCCACCACACCCAGCCCTTTCTATATTCTGTCTCCATCTACGCTGCTGTGCTTTGGTGCTGAATTTCAGAAGGATGATACAGCAGCCCCCTTAGCCTCAGTTTCAGCTACCTGCCATCAAGTGTGGTCTGAAAATATTAAATGGAAAATTCCACATAGAAACAATCAATACGTTTTCAATTGTGAGCCATTCCAAGTAACTATGAAACCTTGTGGCATCCCACTCCACCTCTCCCAGGACATGAATAATCCCTTTGTCCAGCCCATCCATCCACATGCTGTCTACACTACCTGCCAGTTAGTCACTTAGAAGCCATCTCAGTTATCAGATTAAAAAACCCTAGTGTACATCAGAGGGGCACAGTGTCTCATGCCTGTAATCCCAGCACTATGGGAAGCTGAGGTGTGTGGATCACAAGGTTAGGAGATCAAGACCATCCTAGCTAACACAGCGAAACCCCGTCTCTACTAAAAATACAAAAAAATTAGCTGGGTGTGGTGGCATGTGCCTGTAGTGTCAGCTACTCAGGAGGCTGAGGCAGGAGAATTGCTTGAACCCGGGAGGTGGAGGTTGCAGTGAGCCAAGATGACGCCACTGCTCTGCAGCCTGGGCGACAGAGTGAGACTCGGTCTCAAAAAAAAAAAAAAAATCCTTAATGTGTATCTACTACCTGCCATTTCTACATCCACTGGGGTCTTGGAACACATGCCCCTCAGATAATGGAGGACTAGTGCACTGCAATTATCTAAATGGATAAAGATTAAATGAATTATCAATTCAGTAGAACTGAGTGCTAAATAAGGATGCTAAGTTATAATACATCCCATAAAGGTGTTCACGTACTGCCTGGCATCAGGAAACAGTGGTTAATAGTGAGCATCACTTTTAGTTAATATAGCTGTTCGATTAATAAAAGCATTCTTATCCCTAGACCCTCAGCCACTTTAGATATTGCTGCTCTTAGACTAGCATGCATCATCCATCATACTTCGAAGACCCTGACAGAGGGCATGTGGAAGCCCTTGGCAAGAAGGCGAACAAGCCAACTCTGGCCCAAGCCCTTGTCAGGAGCAGTGTCCTTTGCTCCTGTCTGCATTTACCCTGAGCAGTGTCATCCACATGGAGCTACACTCATCATCGAAGACCAAGTTGGTCTCCCTAAACCAGCATATTTTATACAAACATACCTGTTCACGGAGGTGAAGTAAGAGGTGCAGAAAACAAGACTTTATTGTCGTTATGATACATGGTACATTATTCTTTTCCTTTTTTGATGGAGTCTTGCTCTGTTGCCCAGGCTAGAGTACAGTGGTGCAATCTCGGCTCATTGCAATCTCTGCCTCCCAGATTCAAGCAATTCTCCTGCCTCAGCCTCCCGAGTAGCTGGGACCACAGGTACTCGCCACCCACACTTGGCTAATTCTTATATTTTTAGTAAAGATGAGGTTTCACCATGTTGGCCAGGCTGGTCTCGAACTCCTGACCTCAGGTGATCCGCCCGGCTTAGCCTCCCAACATGCTGGGATTACAGGCATGAGCCACCGTGCCTGGCCTATTATTTTCTATTATATTCTATTTTCTTTTTGTTTTAAGCCAGTCATAACTCAGCAAATTGATTTCAGTAGGTCAAGACTCACGCATAAAGAAACCTACAGTCTAAAACCTACTAAATAAGCAGTGTGTATGTCAACGAACGTAACTGATCCCTGACCGCTGTGGGGAAGGAATACTACACTATAAGAGAGAGCTTGGTCACTGCCTCTATATTTCCATTCTGCCCAGTGATATTTACCAGGTTTTATTTCATGTTCCTAGAACCAATATTACTGCCAATACCACCACAGCAGGGGAACACTTTAATACAACAAAAACAAATGATATTTAATTTGCGTTATACTCATACAATAAGAAATAGACCTTCCAGGGGAGATGCATTCAATATTTATTCTCAAACATTTAAAGGAATGACAGAAACCACAATGCCTGCCATTGATTGCAATGCACCACCCCGGGCCCCACTCACAAAGCTTGACACAACCCGTTTTATTCCCAGTTGTCATTTTATAAACTGTCTTTTTTGTTTTATTTTGATTTTTAAGATGGAATCTTGCTCTGTCACCAGGCTGGAATGCAGTGGTGCAATCTCAGCTCACTGCAACCTCCAGCTCCCAGGTTCAAGTGATACTCCTGCCTCAGTCTCCCAAGTACCTGGGACTACAGGTGTGCACCACGACACCCTGCTAACTGTACTTTTAGTAGACATGGGGTTTCATCATGTTGCCCAGGATGGTGTCTATCTATCCACCGACCTCGTGATCTGCCCACCTCAGCCTCCCAAAGTGCTGGGATTGCAGGCATAAGCCACTGCACCCGCCGTCATTTATTAAACTGTCAATCATCCAGAATATGCACGTCTCTTGAGTTTCAGAATGTGAGGAATCATTCTTGGGGTAATCTCTCTTTTTTCCCCCTTTTAAAAAAATATAACACAATAACATCAAACGATCTCTTCTTTTTGAACTTTATCCCCTTAAGAGATGGAAAATATGAGACATGAAAATGGGATCTTCTGGGAGGGCTGCTACAGTGAATAAAGGTCTCCACATGCCCACACGTTTACAGGTCCCTGGCCATTTTCACTCAATGTCTCCTACAAAAACTAACATAATAATGATCATGATTACAATGAAGTCATATTTCTATTCCAGCAATGACGGCGGCCTGCTGACTGCAATTGGCTACATTTATAGGAAATGCTGGTAATAGCCAGGGGTTTTACATAAACAATATTCTACTTTTTAACCTTGCCCTCATTAGACTTCTTCTTAAAATCATACTTAAAAGGCTGGAAAAAAGAGGATGAATATAGCACAGCGGTAGACATACCTGCAGTAAGAGTTAATAAACTCCACTAATTGGGTTTTTGAATAACTTACCCTTTGCACATTTACACGCCCCACACACACACATTTCAAAAAAGCTGGGAAATTATTCCTACTTTTGGGTGACTTTTGGCTCACCAAGAAGAGTGACTCAATTATCCAACTGTGAATGATTCATCTATAGAATGCATACCTTTGAATACATATGAGAGTTTACTTTGTGACAGCTTTTCATTTCCCCCTTATTGAACTCAAATTTCTCTCTCTTTTTTTTTTTTCCAAGATGGATTCTCGCTCTGTTGCCCAGGCTGGAGTGCAGTGGTGTAATCTCAACTCACTGCAACCTCCACCTCCCAGGTTTAAGAGATTTTCCTGTCTCAGGCTCCCGAGTAGCTGGGACTACAGGCACACACCACCACATCCAGCTAATTTTTCTATTTTTAGTAGAGGCAGGGTTTCACCATATTGGTCAGGCTAGTCTCGAACTTCCGACCTCAGGTGATCCACATGCCTCTGCCTCCCAAAGTGATGGGATTACAGGCACGAACCACCATGCCTGGCCCACTCAAAGTTGTCTTTAGAAGTATCTGGGTGCCATACGAAAGGTGCTGCTGCTCTCTGACAGAGCTGTTAACTATGCCTCATTTCCAGGCCTGTGCAATGGCAGTGTCTATTGCTAACATATTTGCAGTTGACCAAACTCACCAGGAGCCAAGATAGCTGTGGGACTGGACTTCCACGCCCTGTGGCTCTGGTGGCTTCTGTTCTGAGCCTTGCAAGTTGGACCCATTCACAGTACTCAGTGAAATGGCAAATCCAGTCAACCAATCTTTCACCCGACTCGATTCTGTGGTTGAGTGTGTAGGTCCAATAGGAATCGCACCCACGTTGTGTTAAATTCTGGAGAGACTGAGATTATGGGTATTGACTAAAATTGCTCATTATACAAATAATTGACAAATGACAGATTTATTTTTAAAATGGTTAAACTTCAGAAAAATCTCAGGTGTATTTTGACAACTAGTTAGCTATCTCCTTAACAGTGACCAGCTACTGCTTGGATGGAACCAAAAAAGAAAAATAAGATACACTGTTTTGGAAACAACTCTGACCTACTGTAATGTAACACTGGGCATGCCTTTTACAGACTAAGCCTCAGTTTCTCTGTAATGGGGATTGTATGATTATAAAATCCCCACTGGCCCCAGTTACTGGCATTACAATCTGAAAGGAACAGCGCTCTCTGGCAAGAATCTCAGATAATGAGCAGTCCTGATGACATTCAGCCCCTATGAAGCACACTGTGGAATCTTCACAAAATGCTGAAATGGGACCACGTGCCCCTCTCATCCCCAGTGCCATGCATCTTCTTTACCTCTCTCTCCCCAGCTCACAGATGGCCCAGACTTAAATACCAGCTCTGCTGCTCATGGCCACGAGGCTGGAAGCAACTTATGTCCTCTGTGCACATGGTTCTCCCTCTTACAAAACTGGGATCGTCATAACTGAACCTACCTCGTATCGGGGATTTAAGAGATGAAATGAGATACACACATAACATGCTAGGCGCAGGTGTGGCCCACATTGCCTTCATGGGAAAAGTGAGCCACTATTATTTCCAAGAACTTGCATTTCTCCATCATTGTTTGTTCAACTTGCATTTATCGAGTGTCTTTGTTGCAAGAGGCACAGATGGAGCCTGTCTTCAAGTAGCTCCCATGAGTGTCAGAAACAGATCCCACGCCCTGTACTGCATTTGCCTGAAACTTAAAAGGCTTCTAAGCCTTCGAGGTGTGGCATATTTAATAGGGGCTTAGCTTGAATATGAGAATGATTTGACAGATGTGTTTCCAACAACCTCATGTCCACAATGTTGACCTCAGAGCTTAGGACAGATTTCGCTTCCTTGGCACCAAGAGCAGCGCCCTCCACTGTCTTCTGTTGTGTGCCAGGGACAACCAGCTGTCCCTGCACGATTCCTGCTCCCCTATCATGGAACAGAATGCTGCTTCCACAAAGTGGGTTCCCAGCCTGGGCATACATTTCCAGCACCCCCACCCCCTGCCCTGTTTGTCCAATGGGGAGCCACACAAATGAGCTCTGGCCAAGGAATGTGGGGAGAAGTGACATACAGTGCTTCCAGGGTCCCTAAACCTCCCCCCGCCACCTGATACACTCATTTCCTTTTCCCTTCTGCTGGCTGGATATCTACACCTATGTGCAGAACATGGCAGGATCTCGCCCGCCTGGGTCTCTGAATGCATGGCTGGAGAAGAACCCTTGGCCAACAGCCAAGCTTCCAATAGTACATGGATGAGAAATACGCTTCTGTTGCATGCAGCTCCTACTATCTGGAATGTCTCCATTCTCAGAGAAAGAAGCATAGATTTCCTTTCTAGGAGTAAGTAAGCCTGGAGAATGCTCAAACTGCCTTAACTCATGGCCGCCTCCTAAAAAGAATACCGGGAAATGATGTGAAGGCCATCGGAAGACATGTAAACACTTTGAAATGGGAAGCCCGGTAATCATCACAGACATGTCACTGAAGCAGCCACACGGTCTTCAACAAAACTGAAGTGAAAGGGAGGAGGCCGTGCAGCCTCAGCCAGAGAGGGCTGGGACAGACCTAGCCCAGACTGGAAGAAGTATCAGGCCTGTTCAGGGCTGTACTTAAAGCAGGGAAATGATGACACGCATCTGTAATTATTAAAATCTTTGGAATCTGTGCAGGTGATTTTGGTGTGCTTTTTGTTGGTTTTCTGCAAATCACTTCAGTTTATAAATTCCATAAAAAAGCCATTGGAAGTAAAAACCCTTTAGATGCTAAAGAATAATCAGGCCGGGCGCGGTGGCTCATGCCTGTGATCCCAGCACTTTGGGAGGCCGAGGCGGGTGGATCACGAGGTCAAGAGATCGAGACCATCCTGGTCAACATGGTGAAACCCCGTCTCTACTAAAAATACAAAAAATTAGCTGGGCACGGTGGCACGTGCCTGTAATCCCAGCTACTCAGGAGGCTGAGGCAGGAGAATTGCCTGAACCCAGGAGGCGGAGGTTGCAGTGAGCCGAGATCATGCCATTGCACTCCAGCCTGGGTAACAAGAGTGAAACTCCGCCTCAAAAAAAAAAAAAATAAGAAGAAGAAGAATCTATGAGATCTCAGCTACTTGGGAGACTGAGACAGGAGAACCGCTTGAACCTGGGAGGCAGAGGTTGAGTTGAGACCATGCCATTGCACTCCAGCTTGGTGACAAGAGTGAAACTCCGTCTCAAAACACAAAATAATCTATGAGCAACTTCAAAGTGGAAATATGCACCTTTAAAGAACAGTAAACTTTCAATCACACGTAATAACAGCGTGCATCCAGCCCCTTCTCACCATTTCACTCCTTTAGACCCTGACCTTCAAACTGGAAAGGAGAAAATGTTATGCTTTATTCATATGTGGAGGAAGATATTTAGGAAAGAAAATGAGAATGCAAGTACGGTCAGTCCTCATTATTCACAGATTCCATATTTACAAATTTACTTGCTGGCTGAAATTTCTTTGAAACTTAGAAATCAATATTTGCGGCAATTCTGTGGTCGTTCTTGGATATGGGAGCAGAGGGGAGAAGATTCGAGTTAGTGAACATGAGGTCAAACAAGATGACACCCTGCCTTCCCGCTTCAGCTTTCCTACTGTCAACAAGTGTCCGTTCTCTGGGCTATTTAGCACCATGCCTTTCACATTTGTGTGCTTTCTGTTTGAGATTGTGTTTGAAACAGGGCCCAGGCACACTGCTATAGAGCTATCCAGTGCTCCCAAGCTTAGAAAGGCTGTGGGATATGGTTGGTTGTGTCCCCACCCAAATCTCATCTTGAATTTAGTTCCCTTTAATTCCTAAATGTCGTGGGAGGGACCCAGTGGGAGGTAATTGAATCACGAGGGTGGTCACCCTCATGCTGCTGTTCTGTTGATATTGAGTTCTCACAAGATCTGATGGTTTTTATAAGGAGCTTCTCCCTCTTTGGCTCAGCACTTCTCCTTCCTGCTACCATGTGAAGAAGAACATGTTTGCTTCCCCCTTCACCATGATTGTAAGCTTCCTGAGGCCTCCCCAGCTCTGTGGAATTGGGAGTCAATTAAACCTCTTTCCTTTATAAATCACCCAATCTCTGGTAGGTCTTCATAAGCAGCATGAGAATGGACTAATACACACTGCCTTACGGAGAAAATGTGTGCGTTACGTAAGCTTTGTTCAGATGTGAATTACATAGTGCTGCTGGCTGTGAATTCAATGCTAAATGAATCAAAAACATATGAAGGGACTTCAAAAAGTACGTGGAGAGTGAGTATTATGGAAAAACTATGCATGAATTTCAATTTTTTTTCACCAAAATAAATGCGGACTAACTTGTTACAGCATGTTTAGACAGGATCTAGCTTGAGGCAGTAAGACGGAAAAGACGTCAGTTTGAGAAGAACTCCTATCGGAGCAATGTGAATTCTGCGAAAACTGAAGCTTGGGAGGCCGAGGCTGGTGGGTTGGGAGGCCGAGGCGGGTGGATCATGAGGTCAGGAGTTCAAGATCAGCCTGACCAACATGGTGAAACCCCATCTCTACTAAAAATACAAAAATTGGCATGGTAGTTCATGTGTGTAATCCCAGCTACTAGGAGGCTGAGGCAGGAGAATTGCTTGAACCCAGGGGGCGGAGACTGCAGTGAGCTGAGATCATGCCATTGCACTCCAGCCTGGGCAATAGAGCAAGACTCTGTCTAAAAAAAAAAACTGAAGCAAGAACAAACTGCAAATTTATGGTGACGCTTGGGTGGAAGAATGGCGAACTCACTGATGCCTTCTGAAAAGTTTATGTGGACAAGCTCCAAAGAAACAGCAGTTTCCAAATGAATGACTTGTTTTAAGAAGAAAAGAGATGATGCTGAAGATGAAGTCCACAGCGGCAGACCATCCACCTCCATTTTCAAGGAAAAAAAATTATCTTGTTTGTGCCCTAACTCTAGAGGACTGACGATGAACAGCAGAAACGATAACCAGCACCACAGATGTCTCAGTTCAGCTTACACAGTTCCGACTGAAAAATTGAAGCCGCACAAACTTTCCACTCGGTGGGTGCCAAAACCTCGGAGCTCAGCCCCGCTTCAGAAAAGAGTAGAAATTTCAGTGGAAATTTTCAACAAGTGGGATGAAGGTCCCAAAGCAGTTCTTTGAAGAATTGTAAAAGGAAACAATACGTGGCTTTCCCAGTACAATGCTGAAGAAAGAGGACAGTCAGAGCAACGGCTACCCAGAGGTGGAAGGGGTCCAGGCACAGCAAAAGCAGACGGGTCAATAGCCAAAGTCATGGTCACAAGGTGTTGGGACACTCAAGGCATTTTGCTTGCTGACTTTCTGGAAGGCCAAACAATACCATCTGCTTATTATCAAAGTGTTTTTGAGAAAGTTAACCAAAGCTTTAGCAGAAAAATGCCTGAGACGGCCTCACCAGAGCACCCTTCGTCAGCAAAAGGAGGCTGATGCTCATTCCTCTCTTCAGACAAGGGCAAGGGCAACCTGGGGAGAATTTCAGTAGGAAACCATTAGGCATCCACCTTACAGCTCTGATTTGGCTCCTTCTGATTTTTTTTTTTTTACTTCCTAATCTTAAAAAAGGCTTTAAAGGGCATCATTTTTCTTCAGCTACTAATGTGAAGAAAGACGGCACTGATGTCGTTACATTCCCAGTCCCTAAGTTCTTTAGGGATCAGCTAAGTGTTGCTATCAGCACCTACAAGTCTCTTGAACTTGATGGGACTGATGTTGAGAAATAAAATTTATAGTTATATTTTACCTTTGAATTCCATTTTCCCATGAACTTTCTTCTCATATCCTAAATGAGGTGTCTTTAAACAGACACACACATAAAACAGGTTATGTACTGACATATATAAAACAAGGTTATAAAAAATGTGGCATCAGAGGCTCAAAGGGACCTAACCCTGTATTTTCCCTGGAAGCAATTCACTTATCCAGCATACGTGGTAACTTTCAATCTCTTAAAGGTACAGAGGATGAGGCTATTTTTCAATTTCATGAACAACTATTACGCATCAAATAACATGAGTTTATGCATCAAATAATACCATGTTAAACTCCTGCACAAGTATTATGTTTCTGTAGTTTAGACACACTTAAAAACTGTATTAAGCCTGACAACAGAGTTGTATTTATAAGGTCACTACTTTTAGAAAACTTGGCCCAACCAGTATCACTGTTTCAGTAAATGGCAGCCATTCCAAGGCCACACAACTTTCCTGTCAAACCAGCAATTCTTGCCAAGTCAACGGAATGGACTTTGTAGGATTTCGTAGGCAACTGCTGAAAACGACAAGAGTTGTTTCCTGCGGAAGGCCGCCCTCCACTGCCCGCAAAGCCTACTGACCCTTCGCACCCCTTGGCTGTGAAATGGACACAGCCTCTACTCCAGACCCTCAGCAATGCCTGGCTAAAATCCAGACTAGAGGCAGAGGTTCGGGAACCTAGGTGGAAATGCAGGAAGAGTGCCTGTGTCAAGGGTCTTCCACTTGTCCTTGATTTTAAAAAAACATCTTTGCATTTGGCTGGGTGCAGTGGCTCATACCTGTAATCCCAGCAATTTAGGAGGCCAAGGTGGGCAGATCACCTGAGGTCAGGAGTTCAAGACCAACCTGGCCAACATGGTGAAACCCTGTCTCTACTAAAAACACATAAATTAGCCAGGAGTAATGGTGGGTGCCTGTAATCCCAGCTACTCCAGATGCTGAGGCAGGACAATCGTTTGAAAGGGGGAGGCGGAGGTTGTAGTGAGCCAAGATCGCACCACTGCACTCCAGCCTGGGTGACGAAGTGAGACTCCATTGCAAAAAAAAGAAAAAAAAATTTGCATTCTCAAAATACTTAGCAAAGCTGCTGCTGAAGTTGAACCTAGTCTCCTATACTCAACCTCCATTGCTTTACATTTAGCAATTAAGTAACAAGCCAGGAGTTAAAAGTAGAGAAACATTTTCTGGTCTCTCGAGAATCTGGAGACAAATTCTAGTCTGTTTCCAGCTCTGGTTCTTGGACACAAGAAAGGCTGAATCATTGTGAGAGATTTTAGGACTATGTAATTCAAATTTGACTCCATATTTTCCTCTAAATTCTGGGTGAATCTGTTTGTTACAAATACGCCCTGCTTTCACCCATACCTTCCACTGACTGCCCTGAAGGCGGGCTATTTTTTAAATCCAATTCTTACTGAATTTAGTGTCATTTTTTCTTCTCAGTTCAGTGAGAAGTCATACAAGTGTGACAGCAAACACTGCTTAGCTGGGAACTCCCTGACTCACTTTGAAAGGGTCCAGGCAGGGGCCGGGCATGGTGGCTCACGCCTGTAATCCCAGCACTTTGGGAGGCCGAGGTGGGTGGATCACGAGGTCAAGTGATCGAGACCATCCTGGTCAACATGGTGAAACCCCGTCTCTACTAAAAATACAAAAAATTAGCTGGGCATGGTGGCGCGTGCCTGTAATCCCAGCTACTCAGGAGGCTGAGGCAGGAGAATTGCCTGAACCCAGGAGGTGGAGGTTGCAGTGAGCTGACATCGCGCCATTGCATTCCAGCCTGGGTAACAAGAGTGAAACTCCATCTCAAAAAAGAAAAGAAAGGGTCCAGGCAGATAAACACCCTAGAATATTAAAGAAGACTGCCCCAAGACGGAGAAGTTTCTAAGCATGAACTGTGTGTATTTATAGAAAATTGACACATCTTCATAAGCTATTTTCTTCGAAGGTCCCAAATTCCTATGAAAGCAAGAATTTGAAATTTATTACTAGAACTACTTGTTCTATTGAGTAGAAAATTCTGAGGCTTCCAAATACAATGAAGAAGAACATCAAGAAGTACAAGCCGAGTTCTGACAGTAATGGCAGCTATGAGAGAATGATATTTTCATCTATTAACACAATTCCTGTTGAACATGAATACGAAGATACAACTGACAGAGATGGCTATTTGTGAAAGCATTCCGAGTCTTGGGATAATTTTTTTTGTTTTGAGACGAAGTCTCGATCTGTCACCGAGGCTGGAGTGCAGTGGCATGATCTCAGCTCGCTGCAACCTCCGCCTCCTGGGTTCAAACGATTCTTCTGCCTCAGCCTCCTGAGTAGCTGGGACTACAGGCATGCACCACCATACCCGGCTAATTTCTGTATTTTTAATAGAGATGGGGTTTCACCATGTTGGCCAGGCTGGTCTCTAACTTCCGACCTTGTGATCTACCCGCCTTGCCTCTCAAAGTGCTGGGATTACAGGCAGGAGCCACTGCACCTGGTCATTTTCTTTTTCTTTTTTGTTTTTTGAGATGCAGTTTTGTTCTGTCACCCAGGCTGGAGTGCAGTGGCACCATCTCGGCTCATTGCAACCTCCACCTCCCGGGTTCAAGCGGTTCTCCTGCCTCAGCCTCCCAGGTAGCTGGAATTACAAGTGCCTGCCACCATGCCCGGCTAATTTTTATAGTTTTAGTAGAGACGGGGTTTCACCATGTTGGCCAGGCTAATCTCAAACTCCTGACCTCAAGTGATCCTCCCACCTTGGCCTCCCAAAGTGCTGGGATTACATGCGTGAGGCACCATGCCCAGCCAATTGGGATAATTTTAAAATAGTGATTTTTAAGTTTTTTTTTCACCCCAGGACAATTATTGAAAAATCTGGTAAATGCTCAGGCTCATATGTCTACTTATGAGCCAAAAGTCTAGCAAGATTTCCAAAGAGGTAAAATAATATTCCTTTTTTGTTTTTTTGAGATGGAGTTTCACTCTTGTTGCCCAAGCTGGAGTGCAGTGGTGTGATCTCAGCTCACTGCAACCTCTGCCTCCCAGGTTCAAGAGATTCTCTTGCCTCAGCCTTCCGAGTAGCTGGAATTAATTGCAGGCACCCGCCACGATGCCAGGCTAATGTTTTACATTTTTAGTAGAGACAGGATTTCACTATGTTGGTCAGGCTGGTCTCGAACTCCTGACTTTGCGAGCTACCTGCCTCGGCCCCTCTCAAAGTGCTGGGATTACAGGTGTAAGCTACCATGCCCAGCCAATATTTCTTTTTTTTTAACTGATTACATTCTGCATGGATTGCATCATAGAACCACTAAATATAAAAGCTGGGTGGGACTTCCACACCTCAATCAAGGGTAACAAAACATGGTCATTAGTAACAAAAAGGAGACAGCCCAAAGGACCCCTCAGGGGGTCTGTGAGCACTTTTTCATGGCACTGCATCCCACGGTGACTACAGCACCACACCCTTTTCCCTGATGTGAAATAGTAACTTTTACTTAAAATATGTAACCATGTCAGGCCTTATTTCATCACCATGCGCTTGTTCTAATGGGTGGCCACAGGGCCAGGGAGGAGAAGGGAGGAAGCCAAGCTGGGGGTGGCCAGTGCTGATGCTCAAGGACCTGGACTGTGAAGGGCAGGCGTCGAGGACAGAGGCTGCAAAGGTGAGACAGTGGCTCTTTGGGAAGTCACAGTGTGAAGCCCACATTGGAGGGGTGGGGACTTAGTTCCCTCCCTACGTGAAGGTCACCTCTCAGAGAAGCCTTCATTCTGATCAACAATCCTACAAGAAACTCCAAGTCATTCTCCGTCTGTCCTACCATCCCATGTGCTTTAATGTGATATTTTCCTGTTAATGTATCATGTCCTGCTTTATCATCTGTACTACAATATAAGCTCCTATATTAGGGTTTTCCGGACTCCAGAAAACAGAACCAACAGAATCGATCTATCCCCTATCGATCGATGGATCAATGGAGAGATTTAAGGAACTGATCCAATGAATCGAGAGATTTCTTTTAAGGAACTGGCTCACACAGTTGTAAGGGCTGTTAAGTCCTTACAACTTAAGGATAAGCCAACAGGCTGGAAATGTCATAGTTTTGTATATGAAACCAACGGAGCAGGCCAGGTAGGCTGGAAACTCAGGCAGTTTCTTTTTTAGAGGGGACAGGGTCTCACCCTCTGGTCACTGCCTGGAGTGCAGTGGTGTGATTATAGTTTACTGCAGCCTCGACACCTGTGCTCAGGTGATCCTCCCTCCTCAGCCTCCTGAGGTATGCATCACCAGGTCCACCTAGGTCTTTCTGGTATTTTTTTGTAGAGATGGGGTTTCGCGATGTTGCCCAGGCTGGAGGCCAAATTCCATCTTCCTTGGGAAAACCTCAGTCTTTGTTTGTTTGTTTGGAGATGGAGTCTTGCTCTCTTGCCCAGGCTGGAGTACAGTGGTGCAATCTCATCTCACTGCAACCTCTGCCTACTGCATTCAAGCAATTCTCTTGCCTCAGCCTCCGAAGTAGCTTAGACTACAGGTGCATGCCACCATGCCCTGCTAATTTTTTCTATTTTTAGTAGAGACAGGGTTTCTCCATGTTGGCCAGGCTGGTCTTGAACTCCTGACCTCAAGTGACCTGCCCACTTCGGCCTCCCAAAGTGCTAAGATTATAGGTGTGGGCCACCACACCTGGCCAGTCTTTGCTCTTAAGGCCTTCAACTGATGGGATTAGGCCTACCCACATTATAGAGGGTGATCTGCTTTACTCGAAGTCCACTGATTGAAATGTTAACCCCGGCAATATCCAGCCTAGTGTTTGACCCAACAAGTGGGTACCATACCTCAGCCATGTTTTCACATAAAATTTGTCATCACAGGCCGGGCACAGTAGTTCATGGCTGTAATCCCAGTACCTTGGGAGGCCAAGGCGGGCGGATCACGAGGTCAGGAGTTCGAGATCAGACTGGCCAATATGGTGAAACCCCGCCTCTACTAAAAATGCAAAAATTAGCCAGGCATGGTGGCACTCAGGAGACTGAGGCAGGAGAATTGCTTGAATCTGGGAGGTGGAGGTTGCAGTGAGCTGAGATCGAGCCACTGCACTCCAGCCTGGCAACAGTGTGAGACTGTCTCAAAAAAAAAAAAAAAAAAAAATTGCCATCACAGCTCCTTCAAGCAGGACCTCAGCCTGTCGTATTCACTGCTAATTCCTTTATTTACAATAGTAGAAGATGCTCAATCTCTGTGTGGTCACAGATGAGTGAATTTCTTCCCTGGGAATTGCTTATGTCCTTTGACTCTCCTGCTTAGTAGCTTACACTTTCCTTCCGGATTTGTAAAGAGCGCTTTAATTAAAAAGTAACACTTTGGGCCGGGCGCAGTGGCTCAAGCCTGTAATCCCAGCACTTTGGGAGGCTGAGGCAGGTGGATCATGAGGTCAAGAGATCGAGACCATCCTGGTCAACATGATGAAACCCCGTCTCTACTAAAAAGACAAAAAATTAGCTGGGCACGGTGGCACGTGCCTATAATCCCAGCTACTCAAGAGGCTGAGGCAGGAGAATTGCCTGAACCCAGGAGGCGGAGGTTGCAGTGAGCCGAGATCGCGCCATTGCACTCCAGCCTGGGTAACAAGAGTGAAACTCCATCTAAAAAAAAAAAAAAGTAACACTTTGTCAGTTAAATGTTTTTCCAACGTATTTCTTGTTTCCCTTTATTTTAAAACTGCTTTTAGCTACGGAGAAATTTTTTCTTTTCTTTCTATGAAATTAAGGTTATCAATATTATTGTTTATGGCTTCTGAGTTTATGTCATGCTTAGAAAGGTTTGTTGCAACTCCATATAATAAACAATGTTATGACATTTCATGCTTTATCATTTTATAGTTAAATCTTAGGTACATCTTGAATTTATTTTGTATGAGAAAGCAAGGTAAACATCTGTCTTCCTTCAATTACCTGCACTAGGGCCACTTCGGTACACTGAGCTCCACAGAGACAGCGCCGGGGCAAGTGAGATCGGTACACTGAGCTCCACAGAGACAGCGCCGGGGCAAGTGAGAGCCGGACGGGCACTGGGCGACTGTGGGCCTCGCTGAGGGAAAATAACTAAACATGGGCAAAGGAGATCTTTTTTTTTTTTTTTTTTTTTTTGAGACGGAGTTTCGCTCTTGTTACCCAGGCTGGAGTGCAATGGCACGATCTTGGCTCACCGCAACCTCCGCCTCCTGGGTTCAGGCAATTCTCCTGCCTCAGCCTCCTGAGTATCTGGGACTACAGGCACGTGCCACCATGCCCAGCTCATTTTTGTATTTTTAGTAGAGACGGGGTTTCACCTTGTTGGCCAGGATGGTCTTGATCTCCTGACCTCGTAATCCACCTGCCTCGGCCTCCCAAAGTGCTGGGATTATAGGCATGAGCCACCGCGCCCGGCCCAAAGGAGATCTTAAGAAGTGGAGAGGCAAAATGTCATCATATGCATTTTTTTGTGCAAACTTGTCAGGAGGAGCATAGGCAGCAGCACCCAGATGCTTCAGTCAGCTTCTCAGAGTTTTCTAAGAAGTGCTCAGAGAGGGGGGAGACCGTGTCTGCTAAAGAGAAGGGAAAATTTGAAGATATGGCAGAGGCGGACAAGGATCATTGTGAGAGAAGTGAAAACCTATATTCCTCCTAAAGGGGAGACAAAAAAGTTGTTCAAGGATCCCAATGCACCCAAGAGGCCACCTTCGGCCTGTTTCCTGTTCTGCTCTGAGTATCGCACCCAAAAATCAAAGAACACCCTGGCCTGTCCATTGGTGATGCTGCAAAGAAACTGGGAGCGACATGGAGCAACACTGCTGCAGGTGACAAGCAGCCTTATGAAGAGGCCTGCGAAGCTGAAGGAAAAACACGAAAAGGACAGTGCTGCATATCGGGCTAAAGGAAAGCCTGCTGCAGCAAAGCAGGGAGTTGTCAAGGCTGAAAAAGCAAGAAAAAGAAGAGGATGAGGAGGAAGAGGAAGATGCTGATGATGAATAAGTTGGTTCTAGTGCAGTTTTTTTCTTGTCTATAAAGCATTTAACCCCCTGGATACAACTCACTCCTTTTAAAGAAACAAATGGAAATGTAAGGCTGTGTGAGATTTGATTTTAAACTGCACAGTGTCTTTTTTTGTACAGTTAACACACTATTGAATGTGCCTTTAGGTAGCCCTGGTGGTATTCTCAGTAGCCACTAACCTTGCCTGGTACAGTATGGGGGTTGAAAATTGGCATGGAAATTTAAAGCAGGCTCTTGGTGGTGCACAGCACAAATTAGTTATCTATGAGGATGGTAGTTTTTTCATCTTCAGTTGACTCTGATGCAGCTTATACGAAATAATTGTTGTTCTGTTAACTGCATAGCACACTGTAATTGCCAAAAAAGAAAGTTGCAGCTGTTTTGACATTCTGAATGCTTCTAAGTAAATACAATTTTAAAAAAATGATTTGCACTATTTATTAAACAATCTACCTTTCCTACTGGCCTGAAATATTTTCCTTAACAGATACCAAATTGTGTATATGTGTGTATTCTTGCGTAATTGAGGGGGAGCATCTATTTCTGAACTCTTTCCTTTGTCTTCTTATTTGTCTTGCATCAACAGCACACCAGAAGAAGCAGGTGACATTCTATTACCAGATTATTCAATAGCCTAATTTTGCAGCTGAAATAAACGATGGAGAGGCCACACAACGCCTGCTGTGTGAAATCAAACAGGTGCTCTTAACAGAGCCCTGTGTGATAGAGAAAAACAATTGAACAAGTTAGCCTAAATCATTTTACCTTGAACAAAAAATCATGAGCAAAACAGAAGCTGCCAGGTCTGCACAGTCTTTCTTTAACTATGTCAGGCATAAAACCCAACATAGGCTAGACAGGAAGGGCAGAGGTGGTCCCGCAGTGGCAGAAGAATCAGTAACACCTGCCTTCATTGTTGCTGGCCACCTCAACATTTATACCACGGGGTGTAATTTATGTGTAATAACATGCACATAAATGTAACGCAAGTTACACGTAAATTTACATGTAAATGTTGGTTATCAAGGCTTTCTCCCTCTCCTCCCCTTTACTTTATTCACAGAGGGGATGCACCACATATATTATATATTAAAATATAGAAAACTTCAGCCCCGTGGCAGATATCCAACCTCTCTTGTCCACAGAGTTTCCCTCTCCATAAACAAGTGCCAGCTCCATGGAGGCTGCCTTCCTATCTCCTACTATCGCGTGCAGCAGTCCAGTTTCCAGAAAGCCCGCCTACCCGGCCCTTCTTCTGTTTCAAGTATCCCTTTACAGTTAGTCTTCAATAATCTGAGAGAAAGAAAGGGCAGGTTTCCAGATACCCTCTTTGATGTTTCAGGGGATTCATGGTTTAGCCACGCAGGTGTGACTGTTTGCATTATGAAACTATGCTGTTGACTTGTCATCTCTGACTTGACTTTGTGCAACTGTGCCCCCAGCCAACAGACAAAAAGGACTCCCTGTGGCTAAAATGAGACATGTGAAAAACGAAACCTAATGGCAGTAACAGGGTGAGGGGTTGGTCACGTATCCCTGTGTTAACTAAGTGCCACAGGTTTTCCTTCCTGTAATTAAATAGAAACCAGCTACTAAAAATCACTGTGAAAACAAGTAGAGTTAAAAAGTTCCCACTGACCCCGACAGATTGCCCGACACCAGCCCCCGCAAATCCCCACAACCCACACCCTCCAGCTGCAGTCCTGCAACAACTCTCAACAGAGGACTGGCCTCACAGCTTTACAGACATTCTTTCCTAATAAACGGTCGCAGACCTTCGGCCAGTTTCAGCCAGCTTAGACTGTGTGTCTGCAGTTCATCTTCTGACATAGAGAGCCAAATTCTACCTCCTTTAAGACCCATCCTCAGAGTGAACATGAGATGCATGTTATATATACATTTATCTACTACGCATGCACTTGACCACCCTCATAAATATTCATAGATTTCCCCCAAATCTACTAAATATGTATGTCAGACAGGTCTTTTTTTTTTGGAGACAGAGTTTTGCTCTTGTTGCCCAGGCTGGAGTGCAATAGCGTGATCTTGGCTCAATGCAACCTCCACCTCCCGGGTTCAAGCAATTTTCCTGCCTCAGCCTCCCACATAGCTGGGATTACAGGCATGCACCACCACGCCCAGCTAAAGTCAGGTCTCTTAAGGCACAAATACCAGCTTTGCCCTCCCTTCTAAAGGATGTGCTTCTGTTTTACACTGGAGGCTGTCTCTCCAATCTATAGATAGTTTCTTACAGAAAATAACTCTTTTCCTCTACAAATCTCATGGTCTTTTATTAACGACTTCAAGAATAGACACTGAAATATGAAATGACTCAATACACAGTGCATGTAGCAATGGCTGGCACAGGAAGGACTCCAGAAATGTGGCTCCTTCTATTTTTGGCAGCTCTTCCGGTCATCAAATCTGCAGTCATGTGAGACAGGTGCTCCGCACAAAGCCTGAGCGAAGCAATCAGGTCCACATGGAGGTGGAAGAGAAACGACCATGCACGGGGCACGGGGCCAGGATTCAGGTACAGGACAGTGTTACTGCCAACACCAAGTCACAAAACAATGTGCATATTTGCCAGCACCCATAATCTCTGTGCGTTACAGCTCTCTGTATGGTAATGTCTTGTTCACTCTGTATAAACCTTTCCATCAAAGGATGAGCCCAAACCAAAATGAACCATGAAAATGAACTCACCCAGCGCAGACCTCATTTCTTCCCACTTAATAATAAGCTGAATATAAAGACATTTAAAATGATAAACAGCAGGCTCAGTTCAAGCCAATTCTTAATATCTACTCTTGTGAGCAAACCGCTTTATAGGTACTTTTACCTGAGTTTTCTGTCCAAATGCACTTTTTTTTGAGATGAAGTCTCACTTTGTTGCCAAAGCTGGAGTGCAGTGGCACGACCTTGGCTCACTAGAACCTCCACCTCCCAGGTTCAAGCGATTCTCCTGCCTCAGCCTCCCAAATAGCTGGGATTACAGGCATGTGCCACCATGCCCGGCTAATTTTTTTTGTATTTTTAGTAGAGATGGGGTTTCACTATATTGACCAGGTTGGTCTCAAACTCCTGAACCTCGTGATCCACCCACCTCCATCTCCCAAAGTGACAGGATTATAGGTGAGAGCCACCGCACCTGGCATTCAAATCATTTTAAATGTGGGATGGGGGTGAGAGAGAGAAAAATACTTCTTTATGAAGCAGGTGGCCAAACACTAAAAAGAGAAACAGGTTACTAAAGGGTATACTTTGTTTAGTTAATGAGTATACTTAACCAATTAACATCGATTCAGCTCTGTTTGAAAGAGCAGGGGTGGGCAGGAGGAGAGAATGGAGTAACTGACTAAAGCTGGTTGCTTAGGGAAACCTCCTAAGAACACAGATAGTCACCCCAAAGCATGAGCATCATCACCCTCCTTTCAGTTAAGCCCAAGTTGTACGAAGCAGGAACACAAAGGATAGAACGCCATCTTCCCGCTTCTAAGCATCCTACGGACTGAAAAAAAGGGAACTTCATGTTTTCTCTCTCAGAATCCTGAATCGTCTTCTCAAAAATCTGAAAGAATGGGCTGGGGGTTGTGGCTCATGCCTGTAATCCCAGCACTTTGGGAGGCTGAGACAGGCAGATCACCTGAATTCAGGAGTTTGAGACCAGCCTGACCAACACGGTGAAACCCTGTCTCTACTAAAATACAAAAATTAGCCAGACATGGTGGCACCTGTAATCCCAGCTACTCGGGAGACTGAGGTAGGAGAATTGCTTGAAGCTGAAAGAGATTGCAGTGAGCTGAAGTGCCAGTGCACTCCAGCCTGGGCAACAAGAGTGAAACTCTGTCTCAGGAAAAAAAAAAAATCTGAAAGAATGTAACAAATTTCAGAGGCATCTGAGGGTAAAGTAAGAAATGAAAGGAATGCTAGGTCCTTGAAGGATCTGCACAACTTCACCACCTCCTTTGTGGATCCTAGGGTTCAGAAGGAGTTTCCTCCCCAAACACGGCAAGAAAAATCTGGTCAATTGGGGAGAAAACTCCCCAAATTGTATGGAGCTGTTCGTAATTCTTTAAATCTTTCTCTTCTGTAGGTACCTTCACCCCCCACCCAGAGGCTAAATAGAAGTTAGTAATAAGATTACTTTGTATTTATTTGTATTTCAATAAATAATTTAGTTTTTTGGGGATGAAAGCGAACTATGTTGCCAGGTGGTATTACACTAAGATTCGGTCATTCATACTAACCAGACCTCTGCCAACTGATCCACATACATGTAACCATAAGCCACGTATTCACCCAGTACCCAGGAGAGACTTTAGGCCAAGAAGGAACTAAATACGTCCTCAAAGGGTAGACTAGAAAATGTAATGACACATGTCACAGCGACACTACCTTTTACTAAACAAATTCGAATGTAAAATACTTTGTAAGCAGGGCCTGCATGAAATGGTATTTCATTCACCTGAATTCCCTGCTGTTGTGTCACGCCCGTTTTCAGCAGGCAGGGATTATTTGTTTTCAACTAAGTTTAACACCCAGATCAGAGACCTACAGATATAGGTCATTCATCAACTGTATTTACGGTTATACTCAAAGTCTATTGATCACTCAAAACAAAACATGCTGTTCTTGGGCTGATGAGCCAACATGTTCCTGAGACCCTGAGAACGTCTCAGGAGTAAAGAACAGGAGGTATATTGGCAAGAAAGCACAATCTATTTTAGCCATAAAGCTCATCAATGGGAAGAAGAATTCCTGACACTGCAGCCGGTAGCAGCTGTGAACTTCAACATCCCCTCTTTTTTATTTGTCTCTGGAATTGAGAGAGTGGCTTTGCTTTCAGCGGGTGGTTCTCTGGTTTGCACTGTGGCAAATGGTGCTTCCTGTCCTAGTGTAATGCCTTCCACCCTTTGCCTTGGATGCTTCTGAGCTGTACATATGCCTTTGGTTTAATGATTTGATCATGTGCGTTTGGTTTAAAGATTTGATCACGTGAGAATGTAATTTAGTTAGAATTTAGACGCCAGTCAAGACCATCCATCAGCCACTTCACATTACAACAAAATTAAGAGCTCATCAACTCACAGAGATTCCACAATCATATATTAAAGTCATAATGGGAATCAAACTGCATCTTTTCATCTATTACAAATGTAAAACCCAGTAGGGAGAGAACAGATGTAAAAATTCCTGGCACACAGTTTCGGGGCGCAACGCAGGAGGCATCATGTTAAAAGGCACTTTGTCAAAACATACTGTGTAATTTTTTTTTCTGAGCATAGAATCAATAAATCAAAGAGAATGGCTGGTCCTGCCTGAATCAACATAAATTGTTCAGTGAGATAATTAAAGACCTAAGTCATTAAGGGCTTAGTACTTAGGCTTATATTAAAAATGAATGTGTTCTGAGACTGGACCACTTCAGGTCTCTGTCTATTTCAAGTATGATATTACACAACCCTGCAACTCCCTCCTCAATCACATCTCTCTACCAAGGAAGATTTTAGGCTCCGATTGTGCCAGCAAAATGAAGTTTTTTGTCATATTGATAACTGACTCTCACTGCTGTGAGAATTACTGGTGCTAGGAAAATAATTACTATTCGACGTGGGTAGTAAAAGATCCAGTTTGCTGGAGGAAACCAAAGGTTTTTATGGATCTTTTTATGAACCAAAAGGTTTTTATGGGAAGCAATTTTTACAATTAAGCCTTAAAGTCATGGAAAGAAGTATAAATAGAGCCTGTTTAATTTTTTAATGTGGTAAAAAATTCAAATAGTACAAGTGTATATAGTAAAAAATGTTTGCTTCCCACTCCAAACACCCAATCTTCCCTCTGAGAATCAGGCCTTAGCAGTTTTCTATATATTCCCCCAGACACTTCCTGTACAAATAAGGAGATCTGTTTCTATATTACTGTTTTAAACCATAAATAAAAGTATATATAGCTGGGCGTGGTGGCTCATGCCTGTAATCCCAACACTTTAGGAGGCGGAGGCAGGTATGTCATTTGAGGTCAGAAGTTCGAGACCAGCCTGACCAACATGGTGAAACCGTGTCTCTACTAAAAGTACAAAAAAAAAAAAAAAAAGGCTGGAAACAGTGGCTCACGCCTGTAATCCCAGCACTTTGGGAGGCCGAGGCGGGCAGATCACGAGGTCAAGAAATCGAGACCAAACTGGTCAACACGATGAAACCTCATCTCTACTAAAAATACAAAAAAAAAAAAATTAGCTGGACATGGTGGCACGTGCTTGTAGTCCCAGCTACTCGGGAGGCTGAGGCAGGAGAATTGCTTGAACCCAGGAGGCGGAGGTTGTGGTGAGCCAAGATTACACCACTGCACTCCAGCCTGGCAAAAGAGCGAGACTCTGTCTCAAAATAAATAAATAAATAAAAAATTAGCTAGACGTGGCGGTGCACACCTGTAATCTCAGCTACTTGGGAGGCTGAGGCAGGAGAGTTGCTTGAACCTGGGAGGGGGAGGTTGCAGTGATCGGAGATCAAGATCGTGACATTACACTCTAGGCTGGGCAACAGGAGTGAAACTTTGTCTCAAAAAATGAAAAGAAGAAGAAAAGTATATACTACTCTAACGCCATGCACAGCACTTATTCATTAACATCTTATCTTTGCCATCATTCCATATCAGCACGTATAAAGTAACCTTATTCAGGGCATATTCCCAAACATGTACCTGGCATAGATGTTGTGATTGTCAATGTGTAACAATGTTAACTTCCAAACAGGCTAAAGGGAGCAGCAAAGAGACTCAGAAACATCCCTGAACCTGTGCAACTCCTGCTGTTCCAACTGGTAGTTGCACATTTCAAGGCTGTCACTCTAGCGATTGTGATTCTAATCCAGAAAACTGTGTCTTTATCTACACAGTGAATGTATCAGCTCTCTGGGCCACAGCAGAGGGGGCAGCTGTAGTCTGGTAGCACTGGAACAAAGTAATCTGTACCTGAAGGGCAGAGCAGGCCCACCTAAGCCTCATCATCTCCTGCACTTTCCTGAAGAGTCAAAAATTCCCATTACTCCATCACTGCCCACTCATCTGTTCTGAAAGTGAGAGTCTGTCTCTAGGTGCTCGCCAGTCCTTAATCTTCCATGACTTGTTTCCACTTGAAAATGCCATCCTTTCTCTCTCCATCTCTCCAGCCCTGGATGACTGAAAACAGGGAGACAGTGAATCACCAACGAGAAGGCCTGGGGTGACTTTTCTGAATAAAAATATGCATAATTCAGCAGCTGGAGAACTATTCCTGGAAGCAGATGATGAACAGCCCAGGCTCTTCATAAAGGGCTGGGGTCAATTTCCTACCGGTGAAGCAAGTCATACTTTTAAGAAGGCAGATCTTTGACCCAACTTAATACTGAAGCTATTACTGAGCCCTGGTGGCTCTTCCAAATGTGAGAGGCACAGTCCCTCAGCACTGAGACCTTGTAAAAGATACAGAAACCTGGACACATCTGGTGTTTCCCCATAGTTCCATCCAATATCTACAACCAAAGGTTGCAATTCTAGGACAGCTGAGTTAGTAATGACTACTGTTTTTGTTTGTTTTGTGAGACAGAGTGTTGCTTTGTCACCCAGGCTTAAGTGCAGTGACACAGTTTCGGCTCACTGCAATCTCTGCCTCTCAGGTTCAAGAGATTCTCCTGCCTCAGCCTCCTGAGTAGCTGGAATTACATGTGTGCACCACCATGGCCAGCTAATTTTTGTATTTTTAGTAGAGATGGGGCTTCACCACATTGGCCATGCTGGTCTCAAACACCTGACCTCAAATGATCCACCCACCTCAACCTCCCAAAGTGCTGGGATTACAGGCTTGAGTCACCACGCCCCGGCGAGTAATGGCTCTTGTTAAACAAACTTTGGAAGACAAGGCTTAACTCTTTAGGAACCTTTGAAAAACATTGTTTACTTACAGACCTTGTTGGACTCCCGGGAGGCAGCTACTTTCCTCTGATTCTACTTGAAGCATTAGATATGAACCACCCTGGATAAATGTTTGCCTGTTTTACACAGTAAACTTTGTTTCTAGAGTTTAAAGATATTGACACTAAATAAATAGCATAATGATTGAAAAAAAATTGGCCCAACTCCCAACATCTTCTGAATATATTCTCTTAGTTTTTTCTTTTCATTACAAGAATTACAAATAGGGATATATAATATATATTTACACACGAAGCTGACCAGTCACATCATCTTTACCTACCACATCCACAGGAACTTGTTCAATTCATACCGTGATGTGATTTTTAAAAATGAATGATCGAGGCCAGGCATGGTGGCTCACACCTGTAATCCCAGTACTTTGGGAGGCCAACGTGGGTGGATCACATGGTCAAGAGATGGAGACCATCCTGGCCAACATGGTGAAACCCCGTCTCTACTGAAAACATACAAAAATTAGCTGGCCGTGGTGGCGTGCACCTGTAGTCCCAGCTACTCGGGAGGCTGAAGCAGGAGAATTGCTTCAACCTGGGAGGCAGAGGTTGTAGTGAGCCAAGATTGCACCACTGCACTCCAGCCTGGTGACAGAGCAAGACTCCATCTCTAAATAAGTAGATGAATGAATAAATGAATAAATAAATAATTGCTTAAAAATCACGTTAAAATAGTCCCATGATTTGGATACCTTTTAGAATTTAGACCATGAATGGATCATCTTCCAGTATACTGAGGAATATTTTTTTAAAAATTAGTTACCTTCTTTGAGGAGCCTTACCAAAAGCTTATAACCTGCAATACCTGGAGCCTTTTCTTTCCAAAGAACTTGGCATAATTCAGCAGAAAATATCCTGGCTGTGACTACTTCTGAGATACCCCCTTCTCTGACCTAAAACAGTTTCTCTCCTCTGCCATTACATCCGGCCCTAATAGAGATGCTGCTGGATATCACCGAACCAGCTACTGAAAACATCTGTCAACTCAAAGTTCTCCTCTCTCCAAGGGAGCGTCTTCAAGTGCTAAGATGTTAGAAAACACCTCTCTGACTTGCGGTCTGCAGCACAGACTGGCCTCTGGGCTCCACAGCAAGCGTATACTAGAGATGTCTGTATACGCCCCTACTCTCAAAGGCAAGAAATTCCCTGTCCTTCATTTTTGCTATTCCTTATGGCTTAATTTGTCTGTTTTAAAGGCATTAAGTGTCACATTTGGATGAATGAAACATCATTTTCAGAGTGCACTCATGCATCTATGATGAGTGAGAATATCATGTCTAGTTGCCCTGAAATATTTTCAGTCTCATTTGCTTAGTCACTAGGGGTCTGAGCAAGTGGGTTGATGAAAAGAAAGGCATAATGTTGAATTAACTAATCGTACTGATAGGTAAGTTTGTGGTAGGGTGTCCTACACACACACACACACACACACACCACACACACACACCTGGATTCCTACTTACTTCATAATAATTTACTATGAACCTATTATGTACTAGGCCTTGGGCATCTTGGGCCTGAAGGATGCAAAAATACTAAAACAATGATCCTGTTTTCAAGAAGCTCATAGTTACAAAAGACAGACTAGATGAGACCAGAATAAATCATGACAAAACCAGGTAAGGAGCACAGTGAAAAAAGACAGGAAGTGCTATCACAGAACAGTGCAATGATATCCAGCAGTCCATCTCGAGAGGAAAAAGTGACACTGAAGGTAATAACACAACTGAATTTTTTTTTTTTTTTTTTTTTTTTTAGATGGAGTTTCGCTCTTGTTACCCAGGCTGGAGTGCAATGGCGCAATCTCGGCTCACCGCAACCTCCGCCTCCTGGGTTCAGGCAATTCTCCTGCCTCTGCCTCCCGAGTAGCTGGGATTACAGGCACGGGCCACTGTGCCCAGCTAATTTTTTTGTATTTTTAGTAGAGACGGGGTTTCACCATGTTGACCAGGATGGTCGCAATCTTTCAACCTCGTGATCCACCCGCCTCGGCTTCCCCACATCTGAAATTTTAATTTATGAATTGATAAATTGGTTTTTATCATAATGGTAGGCTTACAAAAAGGATTTTATGGCCAGGAGCAGTGGCTTACGCCTGTAATCCCAACACTTTGGGAAGCTGAATCACCTGAAGTCAGGAGTTCGAGACCAGCCTGGCCAATATGGCAAAATGCCATCTCTACTAAAAATACAAAAATTAGCCAGGCATGGTGGCAGGTGCCTGTGGTCCCAGCTACTTGAGAGGCTGAAGGAGGAGAATCGCTTGAACCCGGAAGGCAGAGGTTATGGTGAGCCAAGATAGCACCACTGCACTCCAGTCTGGGCAACAGAGTGAGACTCAGTCTCAAAAAAATTTTTTAAAAATAAAAATTAGCCAGGCGTGGTGGTATGCACCTGTAATCCCACCTACTCAGGAGGTTGAGGCAGGAGAATTGCTTGAACCCAGGAGGCAGAGGTTGTAGTGAGCCCAAATTGTGCCACTGTACCCTAGTCTGGGGGACAGAAAGATTCCGTCTCCCAAAAAAGAAAAAAAATTTTTATTTAATCACTATTTTTAAAAAGAATTTTCCCAAAAATTAAAATAACTTTCTGTTGAAGCAAAAATTTTTTAACTTCTGTTGATTACGTAAATATCAGAAAATACCATAAGCAGCATAATTAGTTTTGGCACATACCCACATGTTTTAATCAAAAATTTTTAAATATTTCTAAATCCATATCTGGAAAATTCATTTTTAATATGTATTATTTTTATTTTTTCATAAAATATTCTTCCAACTTCTTCAAAGTTGCATTTGATGATTACTAAGTTTTAAACTGTCCACACCTTCTTCAGGGGATTCTTCTCTACTGAGTGTAATATTTTCAACTTGGAAAATACTCTCTACAACTGCTGCAATACTCACATTCACAGCAAATCTTGCTAAATGAGCAAATTCTAAATTGTACATTTTTATCCAAGTATATAAGAGATTTAATCCAAGTATATAAATATATATACAATCTAAAAATATCTGTATAGGTACTATTATTTTGCTACCTTTCTTTCCCAGGTATTACTTTTCTTTGATAAATAATTTTAACATAGAAACCTTGTCACCATTCATGATTTAATGTTTCCCCAAATTTGGACACTGCAAAATAATCAGCCTTCTCAATCTCTTTCCATTGCTGTAGGGATATAAAATTATTCAATTCAAAACGGAGGCACCATGAAGACGCTTTCCACAAGGCAGAATTACAGAATGTCAAAACCAACTCTTACACACCATTTAAGCTCTCATCATTCAATCTCTTTTCCTTCTTTCTTTTGTAGGGATATATTTTAAGTTTTGTTTTCAATAATTACTATTCACTACAAACTTGGAAACCTACTGTTTGGGGCATTTAATTTGTCGCATACTTTGATTAAAGCTTTCCAACTGTTCTTTCACCAACACATCAAAATATGAGGGATTTGTTTACAAAGAAGTTTGATACTGAGCTAGTTCACCTAAACTGATTCCTAGGGTACTTCTTCAAAGGCTATGGGGCAGCTAGCTTAGAATGAATAATATTTGGAATAAATGAAATAGAAAATCTAACAAAAATCAACAGCAAAAGAGAGCAGAATGGTGCTGAGGAATGGGCTGAGATTTCATTTCACTCGGATCTCAGCAGCTGCCACTCATCTGACGATGTGGTCTCCCCCACAGGACCCAGCAGCCCTGCCGCAGGAGCGGAGGGTACAGGCAATTGCACTGCGGTCAAGTGTGGCATCTGCAGAGTGAACGCGGCAGGCAAAGAAGGACAGATGCCGGCAGGAGAGTGATCACGGGGAGACTGGAAGAGGTTTGGCTAGAGAGGGAAGCGCAGGATTGGGGGAGGCACTAGGAGTTCTCAAAGCATCAGAGAACCAGCATCGAAATAAGAAATTCAGGGGTTGTTGTCAAGTAAGCTGAAGGCAGGCACCCAGTGGTGGCAATCAGGATGATAGAGCTGTAGCAGCTCTGGGGAACGTCACTCTAGAGTGGCTGTGGGGCTGTGCTGTTTAACCACAGAGTTTCAGGAGAGAAAATGGTCAAGGACATGGGAGGTTATGATGTGTGGGTTTCCTGTGGACACCGACATAGTGATCCTCCTGGTAGCAGAGCTGGGGAAGGAGCTGAAATCTACGAGTCAGTCACCAAAGCCTCAATGTAAGAAAGAGTGATCAGAGGTCAGGAGGGGCAGAAACAAGGAAGGCAGGCCAGGAACAGAGCATGAGGCCTGAGCTGAAGTGCAGTCAAGATTTTTTATTTTTTTTGGAGAATGGGTCTCACTCTGTCACCCAGGCTGGATTGAAATGGCATCATCATAGTTCCCTATAACCGTGAATTTCTGGGTACAAGTGATCAAGAGCAAGGATTTCTTACTTCAAGACGTATGTTGCAAAAGGGGATCTAGCAGAATTCTAACTGCCTGCTTCAAACCCGGAACCAGAGAGCCTTTCAATAATCCCAGCCACTCCCCTTCTTCCTCATGGGAAACATCAAATTTCATACATTCGCTGGGGCTGCCACGCGAGCATCATCACCAACACACGCTATTCATAAACCTCCAAGGATTCAGAGATGAGATCCAGTTTTAGAAGTACCATCTCAGGAAACAGACTTTGCTAGCAAACACAGCAAACCCAAAAACTGGATTTCTAACATCTGCGCTTGTTTCATGGAGATTTACACTGAGAAAATGGGGACAACAACAATGTGAGACCACAGAATTTTAGACTTGAAACCTTAGGCCTGGTTAAAACAAACAAACAACAATTAAAAGCCCTCTGCTTTACAGATAGACCCAGAGAGGCCAGGTGCTGAGCTATCACAGACCTCAGCAGAGGCAGATGGAAGCCTAGACTCTGTGGCTCTCTATTCCAGTCCATCCAGTACTCTTACCAATTAAAAACTTCCTAAATCAATTTCCTATATAAACTCTGCAAGATCTCCCCCAAATCTCTTTCCAGATGCCCGGCAAAAATCTTCCAAATGGGAACACAAGGCAGTTTACACCTCTAGCCTCAACTCTCACATGATACGAGCTCCATAAATACTTGTTGAGTGAGTGAATGGATAAATACGTTGATGCATTCTGATCAGTACAGATGTAAGATGTTACAGAATTTTAGGAAAGACAAAGTTTCTGTGGCTAGGGGTTCTGGGATGAGAGGGGATGTGTAGCTTATATTTTAGAGAGAAGCAACTGTACCTCACAATGACTGCTTTCCTTGAGGATGATGCAGCATGCTTTAGTATCACAGGGCAAGCCCTGGTGAAGGAGACACTCTTGAGGAGAGGATGATGAAGATTAGCCAGGGCATATGCTGGGGTACAGGTGGGGCTGTGCTCCAGGCAGATGGGTATTAAGAAGCCCAGGTGGGACTATGAGGGATTTAGTCTGCTGCGGTGCTGTAAAAGACAGAAGGTCTAGATGACTGAAAGGAGTAGAAGTAGCATTATAGAAATTGGGAGACACAGCTGGGCCCGGTGGCTCATGCCTGTAATCCCAGCACTTTGGGAGTCCAATGGGGGCAGATCACGAGGTCTAGAGATCAAGACCACCCTGGCCAACATGGGGAAGCCCCCTCTCTACTAAAAATACAAAAAATTAGCTGGGCATGGTGCCACGCACCCCTGCAGTCCCAGCTACTTGGGAGGCTGACGCAGGAGGATCGCTTGAGGCAGAGACTGTAGTGAGCCAAGATCGCACCACTGCCCTCCAGCATGGCGACAGAATGAGACTGCGTCTTAAAAAATAAAACAACAACAACAGAAATTGGGAGACACGAGAGAAAATCCAAACAAGGAATGTATGCATTGCATTTGCAGGGCATGAGGAAATTAGTTTGGTGGGGCAGAGCACCATTTCTTTAATAAGTCATCAAACGGAATAGCAACCCAAGCGCATCTCAGACTAGAATGCCTAATCTGATACATTATGAAATTTACTCCTGCATAGGTGCTCTTTTTATAAGCTCCAAGTTTTTATCTACTAGGGAATCAAAAGCAATGAAGTCCATGGTGATACTATCTGCATTTTAAAAAAATTTCACTAGCCCCATCTTACTGACTTTATGATATTACATATATTCTTAAATCAAATAAATGTCGTATAATATTAAGTAAATAAATGGACAATTTCTGAAATTGATGCTTTATATTCTATGTATCAACAGATTCATAATGTACTTTCTGTGACTTCATAAATTTGAATATTAGTGAATAGATCTAACTTTTCAAAAATGCTACCATTGTTCAAATAATGTATGGAATTTTTAAACTGTACATACTTTAAGAACTTATGAGATGTTTCATCAAAGATGTTGCCTGTCACCCCTATTGGCTAAAATGGGTAAGATGGTATTTAGAAAAGCAGTGTGAAATGTTTAAGTCAAAAATTATTGGGCCAGGCACAGTGGCTCACGCCTGTAATCCCAGAATTTTGGGTAACTGAGGCAGACAGATCACCTGAGGTCAGGAGTTGGAAACCAGCCTGGTCAGCATGGTGAAACCCTATCTCTACTAAAAATACAAAAATTAGCTGGGGAGTGGTGGTGCATGCCTATAATCCCAGCTACTCAAGAGGTTGAGGCAGGAGAATTGATTGAATCTGGGAGGCAGAGGTTGCAGTAAGCCAAGATTGTGCCACTGCATTCCAGCCTGGGTGACAGAGTGACACTCTATCTCAAAAAAACTTTTTTGGGGGATAAAAAACATGATTATAAAAAGTCAAAAATTGTTATAAGAGACAAGGAAGGATATTATATATTGATCAAAGTGTTAATTCACCAAGTAGACGTAACAAACATAATCATACATATGCTAAACATTGGAGATCCAAAATGTATGAGGCAAACATTGACATAACTGAAGGGAGAAACAGCTGTACAATAACCGTAGGAGACTTCAATACCCCACTTTCAATAATGGATAGAACAACCAAACAGAAGACCAATAAGGAAACAGAAGGCTTGCACAACACTGTTGAACAACTGGACCTAACAGATACATGCAGAACACTTCAGCCAACAACAGCAGAATACACACTGTTCTCAAGTTCATGTGGAACATTCTCCAGGGGAGACCATAGGTTATGTCACAAAATAAGTGCTAATAAAATTTAAAAGACTGAAATCCTACAAAGTATCTTTCCAATCACAATAAAAAGAAACTACAAATCAACTGTAGAAGGAAAACTAAACAGTTCATGGACACGCAGAAATTAACATCCTATTAAACAACCATTGGGTCAAAGGAAAAATAACAAGGGAAAATATCTTACGATAAATTAAAATAAAAACACAACACACCAAAATGTATGGAATGCTACAAAAGCAGTGTTAAAGGGAAAATCTGTAGCTATAAATGCTTACATTAAAAAAGAAGACCTCAACAAACATGATTACATATTGGCAATTTCCTAAGAGTTGAAACTCACAAGACTGGCTCCCGATTATGCCTTTTCTTGTTTTCTTTATGTTCTTAACTAAGTCTTTTATATATCAGCAGGTTTTCCAGTGGCAGAAAAATAAATAACAAAGTCTATTCAATAGTTAGTGTGGAGGAGGACAAAGAAGCAGCAGTGGCAACAGAGGTACTGAGTGAGTCTCTGCTGGCGTTTCCAGCCATAACTCCCACCAAGATGTTACATTACCCCTGATCCTAGCCAGAGTGAACTACAGGACAAAACCCTCATAGATTAAATCCCTCACAGACCAAACCCTCACAGACTGAGCCCTCCTCACAAAGCCCTTCACAGATGCAGCCCTCCTCTTACACAAAGCTCCTCACAGACTGAGCCCCTCACAGACTGAGCCCTCACAGACTGAGCCCCTCACAGACTGAGCCCCTCATAGACTGAGCCCCTCACAGACTGAGCCCCTCACAGGCTCAGCCCTCCCCTTAGACAAAGCCCCTCATAGACTGAGCCCCTCACAGACTGAGCCCTCACAGACTGAGCCCCTCACAGGCTCAGCCCTCCTCTTACACAAAGCTCCTCATAGACTGAGCCCCTCACAGACTGAGCCCTCACAGACTGAGCCCCTCACAGGCTCAGCCCTCCCCTTAGACAAAGCCCCTCATAGACTGAGCCCCTCACAGACTGAGCCCTCACAGACTGAGCCCCTCACAGGCTCAGCCCTCCTCTTACACAAAGCTCCTCATAGACTGAGCCCCTCACAGACTGAGCCCTCACAGACTGAGCCCCTCACAGGCTCAGCCCTCCCCTTAGACAAAGCCCCTCATAGACTGAGCCCCTCATAGACTGAGCCCCTCACAGACTGAGCCCCTCACAGACTGAGCCCCTCACAGGCTCAGCCCTCCCCTTAGACAAAGCCCCTCATAGACTGAGCCCCTCACAGACTGAGCCCTCACAGACTGAGCCCCTCACAGGCTCAGCCCTCCCCTTAGACAAAGCCCCTCATAGACTGAGCCCCTCACAGACTGAGCCCTCACAGACTGAGCCCCTCACAGGCTCAGCCCTCCTCTTACACAAAGCTCCTCATAGACTGAGCCCCTCACAGACTGAGCCCCTCACAGACTGAGCCCCTCACAGACTGAGCCCCTCACAGACTGAGCCCCTCACAGGCTCAGCCCTCCCCTTAGACAAAGCCCCTCATAGACTGAGCCCCTCATAGACTGAGCCCCTCACAGACTGAGCCCCTCACAGACTGAGCCCCTCACAGACTGAGCCCCTCACAGGCTCAGCCCTCCCCTTAGACAAAGCCCCTCATAGACTGAGCCCCTCATAGACTGAGCCCCTCACAGACTGAGCCCCTCATAGACTGAGCCCCTCACCGACTGAGCCCCTCACAGAGTGGGCCCCTCACAGGCTCAGCCCTCCCCTTGGACAAAGCCCCTCATAGCCTGATCCCCTCATAACTGAGCTTCTCACAGACTTAGCCATCCTCACAAAGCCCCTCAGACTGAGCCCCTCACAGATAAAGCCCCTCACAGACTCAGCCCTCCCCTCAGAAAAAGCCCCTCCTAGACTGAGCCCCTCACAGAAAAAGCCCCTCATAGACTGAGCCCTCACAGACTAACCCCTCCTAGACTGAGCCCCTGACGGATTCAGCCCTCTTCACAAAGCCCCTCAGACTGAGCCCCTCACAGACTCTTCCTCCCTCCCAGGCTCCCTAAACCCTGTGGTGGTATCTACGCTTCTCCTCGGAGCCCAGCTACCCACCTGGAGGCAGCACCTCCATCTGGCCGAGTCTTAACCCCGCCTCTATGTAAGGTGTCTCTTCCCAGAGTGCCCTGCGCCGTCCTCAAGGAAAGCAACTGTGGAGCGTTACACTCTCTACAAGCAGCTCTAGTGAGGAGCATCGGCTGCGTCTTGCCTGTACCCCAACCCCTCAAACCCCTTCCCACCCACCAGTGCTCAACAGAAACCACAGTCCTGTTAGACGTTCAATTAGTATCTGCTGTGAACAAAGATAAGATTTTGGTAATTTATATGTAAATATATTAAGGCGTCATATTCAGAAACATTTTTTTCTTCATTATCATGCTTGGCTACTTACGGAAGGCTACTGGGAGTAATAATCTGTGTTCTAATTAAAACTGTTTCTGGGAACACAGGGTATGAGTTATGAATAAATACAATATCCACACAACAGCTATCAGCGGTGACCCCACAAACGGGGACCTGTGCAGACCGCTTCCTGCACAAGCCAAGAGGAGAGAGACCATATTTTCTCTTGGAAGCTGATACATTTTCATGCCTTGGGGGTACCAGGAAGCAAATTAATATTCTTTTAAAAATGTGTGTTTCATCCTTAGTTTTTCAAGCTCAGCAGGAAATCATAACACTGGTGAAAAAACCTCGCAACATTGGTAAAAAATTATTTAAGAAATAAACATGATGATTGTTGTAAATGGAGTGAGACTGTTGTGGTGAATTCCTGTGATACTGCTGAGTAAACATTTCGCCCCTCACAAACCACCACACAATGTAAGATATTTTCTAGTTACCTTTCCTTTTAAAACACTTTTCTTTTTTTGAGACGGAGTCTCACTCTGTCGCCCACGCTGGAGTGCAGTGGTGCGATCTCAGCTCACTGCAGCCTCTACCTCCCAGGTTCAAGGAATTCTCTGCCTCAGCCTCCCGGGTAGCAGGGATCACAGGCACCTGTCACCATGCCTGGCTAACTTTTATATTTTCAGTAGAGACAGGGTTTCACCATCTTGACCAGGCTGGTCTTGAACTCCTGACCTCATGATCCACCTGCCTCAGCCTCCCAAATTGCTGGAATTACAGGCATGAGCCACCACACTCGGCCTTAAAACACGTCTTGAACCATAACGAATAACATTTTCCAGATAAGCTGACCTATTCACATTAGTGGTACCTACAAGGTTCTTTTTTTCCTGGAAAATGCTATCAGTGTATTGTATTAGGCTGGTCAAGGGTATAAACACTGGATTGCTCACTGATTGGACAGAAGGTCAGAGAGGTTTCCAGGGGCCAGGACACACAGGGCCATGGAGGCCACCATAAGAACTTTGTCTTTGACTCGAAGATGAGAAGCCAATGGTAGTTTTTCAACAAAGGCATAATGAGACCTGGCTAACACACTGAAAAAGAACAGTGCATCGGGGCAGGACTGGGGAAGAAAGGTAAGCTTTATACAGTGGTTTGGAACAGGGTGGTAGGTACAGAGATGAGAAGTGGTTGCCTCTGTTGTAATTCCGAAGCTGGTGGCCACAGGGATGGGATTGTTGGGTGTAAGAGAAAAGGATAAGTGAGGGATGACTCCAGGTTTTCGGCCTGGTGAGGGATGACTCCAGGTTTTCGGCCTGGGCAACTGGAAGAACAGAGTTACCATTTGCTAAGATGAGATAAGACAGCAGGAGAAGCAGATTTTGTGGAAAATTCAAGAGTTTACTTTGGATCTGGTACGTGAGTGATGCCCATTACCTGGCCAAGTGCGACTGCAGAGAAGCCAGATGAATATACAAGCTTAGTGTTCTGGCCAGGGCTCCAGGCTGGAGGTAGAAATTGAGATGTTACCCACATATGGAAATGTAAGTCTTATTGGAAATGTGTAATAATTCAACAGCAATATAATCTATTTCTTTTGAAAAACTATTTCTGATCTATCCTTTGTACTGTATCAGCCTGAGGTTTATTTTACTGCCTAAGTTGTTAGAGTTGTGAAGAGGGAGGAGTTGAGTTTATCCTTTCTCATCTCCAAATATAGGGACTGGTATCCTACAAGTCAGACGGAAAATAACTTCCAAACTAACTGACTTTCTATTTATCACTTCTCTCAATGTCATAATGACTTCCTACTATCTAAAGAAGAATGTTCCAAACACAGAATTCTGTAAAAAAAAAAAAAATAGCGTTTTCCCAAAAACCCAAATAAAATTTAAATATAGACTTCTGGAAACAATTAAGTCTCTTTTGCTGCAGCAGCATGGTGGGGTGGGGGGTAGAATCTACTGCAATACTCAGAATTGAAAGAGCGATTAGATAGGTAATAAAATTATGATGCCGACCATCCCCTGTTGTGTCTCAGTGTCCCCATGCCGTTGCCTAGGAAACTAAAACTTTCCAAGGCACAAACACTGTAAAATACTGTCCTCTAAAATGTGGTGTTTTAGATCCTCCCCATATATTTAGAAACTAAAGACTTTCTAAGCTCTTTAGTCAAACAAAAGCAAAATAAAAGCAAAAACTCTTTCCGCTTTCTCACTGAACCAGACAGAAAAGATGGGTGCCAGGGGCAGTAGCTGACCCCTGTAATCCCAACACTTTGGGAGACTGGGAGGATTGCTTGAGGTCTGGGGTTTGAGATCAGCCCGGACAACACAGCAAGACTCATCTCTACAAAAGTAAAAATAATTAGCCAGGCATGGATGCATATGCCCACAGCCCCAGCTACTCAGGAGGCTGAGGTGGGAGAATTGCTTAAGCCCAGGAGTTGGGGGCTGCAGTGACATATGATCAGGCCAGTGCTTTCCAGCCTGGGTGACAGAGTGAGATCCCAACTACTGAAAAAAAATGTTTACATCAAAAAAGAAAAAGAGATGGCTTCTCAAGAACATAAACCACTGATCCTTGCCAAACAAAAACGAAAAATACAGCAACCAAAAATAATACGGGCTACAAACCCAAAAACCAATCCAATACTTTCCCAACACTGTTATATTCTGATGTGTCCAGGGTTCCTGTCATTGCTTTTTTCTCTTTCTAGTCATTTAAATAACTAATGGAGGCAAAAAGGGAATAAGAGATGCTAATTTGAATTTTCAAAATCTCTGACATAAGATATTTTAAGACATATTATTATGCCATTAAAATACACTTAATATTAGAATTAAACCATCAAAGTTTTACCAAATGGAATTCCTTTTGGGACCAACCAGAATTAATGTAAATTTCAGATGACATGATTATTGAGATAGAAAACGGTAAGAAATCCATAAAACAGCACTAGAACTAGTAAGTGAATTTAGCAAGGTCAAAGGCTAATGCACAAAAACCAATTATATTCTTATATGCTAGCAGTAAGCAACTGGAAAAATGAAATAAAAATCTATTTACAATAGAATAAAAATAAAATATTTCAGAATAAAATAAATACATGAAGACCTACATTCTGAAAACTATAAAACATCGAGAGCAAAACTCAAATAAAATGAAAAGACTGATGTTTCTTAATCAAAAGTCTACGTGTTTTAAGCTGTCGATTGTTCTCAAACTGATATACAGATTCAATATAAGCCCAAACAGAATTCCCACAAGCATTAAAAGAGGCAAGTGTATTCTAAAACGTACATGAAAATACAAATAGTCTAGAATAGCCAAAGCAATTTTAAGGGGAAAAAAAAAAACTGAAGCTAGAGAACTTACACTCACTGATGACGAGAACTGACTATGAAGCTACAGTGAAGATGGTGTGTGCCGGGTATGGCGGCTCATGCCTGTAGTCCTAGCACTTTGGGAGGCCGAGGTGGGCAGATCACCTGAGCTCAGGAGTTCGAGACTAGCCTGGGCAACACAGTGAAACCCTGTATCTACTAAAATACAAAAAGTTAGCAGGCTGTGTTGGGCAGACACCTGTAGTCCCAGCTACTTGGGAGGCTGAGGCAGGAGAATCACTTGAACCGAGGAGACAGAAGTTGCAGTGAGCCAAGATCGCACCACTGCAGTCTGGGTAACAGAGAGAGACTCTGTCACCAAGAAAACAAAACAAAACAAGACAGAGTGTACCGACAAAAGGACAGATATCTCGAGGAATGGGCCAGAACAACCAGTCTAGAAATTAACCCACCATATATTGTCAACAGATTTTTCACAAAGATACTAAGGCAATTAATAAGACTTTCATTTTTCTGAAAGACTTTTATTTTCTATTTTCAAAAAATGATGCTGAAAATTGGATATCCCTATGACAAAAATGAATATTGTCATTACTTTATACCATATATATAAATTAATCTAAAATTGATCATGAAATATACCTAGATAGAAAAGTTGGCAGGCATGGTGGCTCTCGCCTGTAATCCCAGCACTTTGGGAGGCCAAGGTGGGTGGATCACTTGAGGTCATGAATTTGAGATCAGCCTGGTCAACATGGTGAAACCCCATCTCTACTAAAAATACAAAAAAACTAAATATTGGCTGGGCATGGTGGTGCGTGCCTGTAATCACAGCTGCCTTAGGTACTCGGGAAGCTGAGGCAGGAGAATCACTCGACCGCAACGAGGTGGAGGTTGCAGTGAGCCGAGATTGTGCTACTGCACTCCAGCGTGGGCGAAAGAGCAAGACACTGTCAGAAAAGAAAGAAAAGAAAAGGAAAGGAAAGGAAAGGAGGGAAGGAAAAGCTAAAACTATATAATGTCCAACGTCCAGAAGAAAAAATTATTTGCATAGGCGAAGACTTCTAAAACAGCACATGAAAAGCACAAGTCATTAAAAAAATACACTTTATCACCACTAAAATTTTCCTTAATCAAAAGGTACCATTAAGAATTAAGTGGCCGTGCCTTAGTATAACACCAAAAACATAGGCAACAAGAGAAAAATAAACCAGACTACCTCAAAGTTAAAAAAAAAAAAACTCTTCTGCTGTAAAGGATCCTATCAAGAAAGTAGAAGACTATGTACAGAACAGGGGAAAACATCTGCAAATCATACGTCTGATAAGAGACTTGTATATAAAATATATATGGCAGTCTTACAACAAAGACAAATCAATCAATTTTAAAGAAAGGATTTGAATACCTCTCTCTCTCTCTCCAAAGAAGGTATATAAGTGGCTAACATGGGAAAAGATGTCCAAAATTGTTAGTTGTCAGAAAAATACAAACTGAAATCTCGAGGTGCCACTTCACACCCACAGGATGGCTGTCATCAAAAACAGAGAGTAAGTGTCAGTAAGGACGTAGAGAAGTTGGAGTCCCCCCAGGTTGCTCATGGGACTGTAAAATGGTACAGTCGTTTGGGAAAATAGTTTGGTGATTCCTCAGCACGTTAAAAAAAATAAAAAAAGAGCTACCATTTGACCTGGCAATTTCAATCCTATGTATATACCCAAGGGAAATGAAAGCAAGTCCACAAACAAATCTGTACATGAAAATGCCTGATCATTACTCATATGGGCCAAAAAGTGAGCCAACCTAAATGTCTATCAACTGAAAAATAGATAAATGAAATGTGATAGAACCATATAATAAAATATTATTTGGCAATAAAAAGGAATGAGGCACTGATATATGCTACAATATGGATTAATCTTGCAAAAATTCTCTCACGTTCATCACTGAATTGTCCATTTAAATGGATACAGTAACTTTTATGTAAATGATACCCCAATAAGGTTGATTTTTATAAAGTACTGAGACGCTGAGAGAGAGAATCCAGTCGCAAAAGATCACATGTTGGATAATCCCATTCATATGTAAAGTCTAAAATAGGCAAATCCATAGGGACCAAAAATAAGCAGTTGCTAGGGACTGAGGGAGGGAGAAATTGAGAGTGACTGCTAATGAGTATAGGGTTTCTTTTAGAGAGACGAAAAGCCCTAAAATTAGGTTGTAGTGATGGCTGCATAACCTTGTGACTATAAGCAAAACCTTCCATTGTATACCTTATGGGTGAATTGCATAGTACATAAATTATATTTCAATAATTTTTAAAAGGCATCATTAAAAAAACAAAGCAAGCTACAAAATGGAAGAAAATATTCATATTACATGTATCTGACAAAGTATGGACTACATAAAGAATACCTGCCACCCAATAATGTGATGACATTCCAATAAAGATTGAGCAAAAGATTTGAGCAGACACTTTATAAAAGAAGATATACACGTGGCCAATCAGGGCATAAAAAGATGATCAACGTGATTCATCATCAAGAAATGCAAATTAAAACCACCCTATGATATTACCAAACACCCATTAGAATGGCTAAAAGTGAAAATCTCAAGGGCTAGCAAGAATGTACAGCAATAGGAATTGCCATATACTGCTGGGCAAAAAGATGTAAAATGGTACAACCACTTTGGAAAACTGTTAGGCAGTTCATTAAAAAGTTGAATACAACATCTACCGTGTAACCCACTCATTCTCCTCCTAGATCTTCACTCAAACATACATGCATGTAAAGACCTGTACATGAATGTCTACAGCAACTTCATTTACGAGAGCTCCCAAACTGGAAACCACTCAAGTATCTATAAATACAAAAGTTTAAAAAATGTGAAATATCCTTAACTTTGGAATACTACTCAGCAATAAAAAGGAACAAACCTCTGAGACATGCTACATGGATGAATGTCAAAATAATGAGTGAAATAATCCAGACACAAAATGGTACATATGAGTCCATTTATATGATGTTTTATACAGTATAAAATAATCTTGGCCAGGCGTGGTGGCTCATGCTTGTAATCTCAGCACTTTGGGAGGCCAAGGTAGGTGGATAATAAGGTCAGGAGTTCGAGACCAGCCTGGCCAACACGGTGAAACCCTGTCTCTACTAAAAATACAAAAACTAGCTGGGCATGGTTGCGCATGCCTGTAATCCCAACTACTCAGGAAGCTGAGGCAGGAGAATCACTTAAACCCAGGAGGCAGAGGTTGCAGTGAGCTGAGATGGCACCACTGCACTCGAGCCTGAGCAGCAGAGCGAGACTCCATCTAAAAAAAAAAAATTTCTAGTAAATAAAGTAGGTCACTGGTTGACTAGGGTCATGAATGAAGAAGAAACTTTCAAGGGGCCCAAGGAGTCTTGAGTGACATGGAAATTTTCTCTCTTGACTGTGGTGGTGGCTTTACGGGTATGATTCTCTCATGTTCATCACGGAATTGTCCATTTAAATGGATACAGTAACTTGTATGTAAATGATACCTCAATAAAGTTGATTTTTATAATGAGAACCAATGAAAAAAGAATCAATATAATTTAACATTTTAAAAATTAGCATATCTAATTTTTTGTGTAAACAGATCTTCTGACCTGCTTACTGTTGCGCATACATAGTTTTTTCCCTTAGGTAATTCAAACATTCATTGCCTCTAAACTGAATTTTGTGATTAATTTGCCTGACAAATCTCATACAAGGTCCCCCAACAGTTAATCCCACCCTAATTCCTCTCTGAATTACTAAAAATTCTTAATGAGTGTGGTCCATACTAATGAGATAGGTTTTTTCATTTTGTTTGTTTGTTTTTTTTCAGATGGAGTCTTGCCCTGTCACCCAGGTTGGAGTGCAATGGCATGATCTCAGCTCATTGCAACCTCTGCCTCCTGGGCTCAAAAAGATTCTCCTGCATCAGCCTCCTGAGTAGCTGCTATTACAGGCGCCTGCCACCACACCTGACTAATTTTTATATTCTTCGTAGAGACAGGGTTTCATCATGTTAGCTAGGCTGATCTTGAACTCCTGATTTAAAATGATCCACCTGCCTAAGCCTCCCAAAGTGCTGGGATTACAGGCGTGAGCCACCGTGCCACGCCAATGAGGTTTTGTTTTTGTAACACAAAAAAGGGATGAATTCCTTGACAGAAAATCTCACAGAGGGGCAGGGAGAGTAGTGCCCTCATATGACTTCCAGGCTTTGTTCTGAGGTTGGTTTTGTTCCAGATATTTTTATGTTTTTATGCCAAGCCATTTTTGCAGTGACTTTTGTTGGTAGTATACAACCCCAAGTTGCTTAGAAAGGCAAATCTAAATCTACTTGAACTTTATCTCATAAAATTAAAGAACATCTGTAGGGCCAAAGGGATGAAACGATACCGATATCCATAGAGAAACCACATGTACCCAAGACCTACTATTGTGAGATTACTTCCTACACTTTTCTCCTTCACTACGCACTGTAATCCTCTAATGTGAATATCATTATTATCCCCGTTTTTTCCCACTATGGAAACTGATACTCAGAGAAACCCAGTCATTTGCCCCAATTCACCCAGCTAGTAAGAGGCAGAGCTGAGAGTTTCACATTTGGGTGCTTTGACTGATGTTTGGTTACAGTTCCATAAACACAAAACTTAAACTAGTAGATCCATGGAGCTTTGGATGTGAGTATTCATTTTTGCATTACCGTAAGAAAAGGCACACATTGAAATACACGGCTAACATCGTGTGGGGCTTGTGCCTGCCACTGAAATCTCATCATCTTCCAATTAGGCAACAGTATTTGACAAGAAAGGGATGCGCTGGCATCTTTTTAGAGCAGGCTTCACATAAAACAAAGTCACAAGGATGTCTAGGGAGTGTTTCCAAATCTGGGGAGAACTAGTGCTCTCCAGGAAAAACCAGAAATATGGCAAATTGTAATGCAAACAGAAGAATTGTAATGCAAGCAGAAGAACAAGGAACTAGAAAAGATTACACTTAGGTAATTCGAGAGTTAACGTGGAACCAAGCAGTCAAAAACCTTTGAATTATATCATGGCTGATGGTAACATACAAATCTCTAAAACTGCCAGTCACGACCCAGAACTGCCATTTGACAGACAGAAATATACATATGCTTCTGGTACAGACAGCTTTAAAATATTTAAACAAAAATATCGTAACCTACAAATAATATTTTGAAGATAATGAAAGGATAATGAAATGCACTGATGAACACTGATTTGCATCCTAACAAGACCCCAAGTTAATGTGTTGTTTAAACATTGGTAAGGAAAAGAAGAATCTATGGAAAATAAATTGTTAGCCTAATCATCCATTCTACATACCCTTGACGATCGAAAGTCTGAAAATCATTAATAAATCATGAAATTAAGTCTATATTCTGATCTTCTGCAAAAATCTCCCCTGTTGTTAAACTCAATCATTTAATGTTCTAGCATTTATTTATTCAGCAATGGTTAAAGCATAATATTCCGACACAGTTTCTATCAGTTAATTCTACTAAATGTAGCCCTGGAATATTCCTAGGAATCATACCAGTTAGAGTAAAGCATTTATGCAGGCAGGGAGGCTAATTTCAAAAACACATGTTCAAGTAAAGTCTCTATTTGAATATCTGGCTTTCTGATTTCCTCCCTCCTTTGGTAATCTCCAGTGTTAATGGAATGCAAACATAACCTGATGAGGGGGTAATGCCACGGTCTGACGCCAGTTATTATTCTCTTATGTCTGGTATAAATTCCCATTTCAATCACATGCGCTCTTCTCTGTCAAAGGAAGAGTACAAGGGAAGGGATGGGTGCAGGCAGTTACCATCTGCTTCTCTCCCCCAGCATCCCTGGAAAGGAAGAAAAGGGTGGGAGTTTCTCCTAGAGACGGGAGCAAAGTGTACCTCACAGTGGGCCCACTGAAGTATCTTCAGGCAGCCACATTTGACCTGAAGCCAAATCAGAAAGCCATATCGGAAAGCAATACAGACTCCCCATAGCAGGAACATCAGATTCACTGTCAAGGCTCTAGGTTTTCAGTCTAGCACAACAGCTGCAGACTGGTTCAAGTGAGGCCTGTGGACTCCTGCATGCAGCCCACTGTCTTCGGTCGGATACAAGCTTCTCTAGTGTCCCACAGGCCTCCCAGATCCCTCCTGCCTTACCTGGCCACTAAAATCATTTATTTTCCCACCTGGCCTCTTTAGACCTTGGAGTTTGCAAGTTGGTTCAAAACTCATCAGTCAAACGAGGTACTTACAGCTGCATGACCAGGTACAAGTGATTCGGACTTTCATAAATGTCTTCCAGGGCGACGATGTTTTCATGCTTAATCCTGAAAAAGAAATAGACACACAAAAGAGTAAGTTTAATCAGAAAGGAAAACTTTTTAGAACAGACAACATTGTAGCAACAAGTTACAAAACAGAAGCCACAACTCCTGAACAAAAACATTTCACACTCCACAGTCTTGTCCCCAGACTTGTTCCAGACCCACTTGCTAATAGTCCTTCCAGGGTCTCCACTCCTCTTCGTTCCTAAGCCTCAATACCCTATAGTTTAGCAAGAGTGGATTAACTATTGATGCTTCCTGTGAATCCCAGAAATGGGGCCAACCTGCCCACATCCTATTATCTGACATGCAGGGCCACTGAGCAGAACTGTTCCCTCTTCTGTTGTCTCCCAGTGGCCATCACGGACTTGCCTGACTACTAAATTCTATGAAAATCTGTCCCTGATGACAGGCCTATGTTCCAGGGAGCAGGGAGAACTGGTGGGACACTGGAGAATATATATATTCCAGGGAATGTTTCTCTGGCATGTTCACAAGGTCAGGAGATTGAGGCCATCCTGACTAACAGGGTGAAACCCCATCTCTACCAAAAATACCAAAAAAGGCCAGGCACAGTGGCTCATGCCTATAATCCAAGCACTTTGGGAGGCCAGGGCAAGCAAATCACAAGGTCAAGAGATCAAGTCCATCCTGGCCAACATGGTAAAACCCCGTCTCTACTAAAAATACAAAAAAAATAGCTAGGCGTGGTGGTGTGCACCTGTAGCCTCAGCTACCCGGGAGGCCGAGGCAGAAGACTCGCCTGAACCCAGGAGGCAGAGGTTGCAGTGAGCTGAGATTGCACCACTATACTCCAGCCTGGCGAAAGAGCAAGATTCCATGTCAAAAATAAATAAATAATAATTTTATATATATATATATATAAAGTTTTAGCTGGGCATGCCTGTAGTCTCAGCTACGTGGGAGGCTGAGGCAGGAGAATCACCTGAACCCGGGAGGCAGAGGTTGCAGTGAGCCGAGATTGTGCCACTGCACTCCAGCCTGGGTGACAGAGCGAGACTCTGTCTCAAAACAAACAAAAAAACCAACCTGACTCCCTCATTGGGGTTCATATCCCCCCCCCACCCCACTATCAAATGTCACTTCAGCTTCCCAAGCAAACTAGATCAGTGCTACTCAAAGTGTGGTTCTCATAGGGGCAGCACCAGCATCTCCAAAGAGCTTAGTAGAAATGCAAATTCTCGGGCCCCACGGCAAGCACAGAGTGCACAAGTCGAGGGCAGAGCCCAGGAATCAGTATTTTAATAAGCTGCTCAGATAATCTACACATGCTAACTAGAGCTTGAGAAATACTGTGTTGGACCAGTGCTGCTCAAACTTCAAGGTGCAGTTGAATCGTCTGGGGATCTGGCTACATGGCAGGCCTTGAATCAGCGGGTTTGGCTGGGGCCTGGGAGGCTGCCTTTCCAAACAGCTCCCAGGAGTTACTGGTGCTGCTGATCTGCAGACACCACTGTGAATAACCACGTTCTAACTAAAGAACCAGCGCAGAAGGAAACAGCTGAGTTCTAGCCCTTGGCACTATCCATTAAGAGCAGTTTCTGCTCAGAATGTAAGGCTCGATATTATTTAAAGCATTCGAGAGAAAAAAATTATTTCATTACTCAAGGAGATAATTAGCTCTTACCATAAGCCTCTCATCGAAATGACTGCTGAACCATTTAAAGACAAGCACACAACACACAGATTCTTGTGAACCTCCTGAAAGCAAGAACTACATTATTCACACATTTGCTCCTGATGCCTCGCACAGATCTGCTTAATAAACGCTTGCTGAATGAATGAATGATATTGAAAGGCTGCTGCCAGTAAGCAGCAAGAAGCCTTATTTAGTTAGGAAAACGGAAACCATTTTCCTGAGAGTGTGATGTCTTCCCTACAGAGAGAGGTTTGTAAGGTGGGAAACAAACAAGAATATTATCTTCTTTTTGAGATGAAAGAGCACAAGATCATGAACAAAGACTGGTGAGGATTTCCTTTGAATTCTACAGCTGGCAGTGGTTAATGCAGTTGTTTTGCGGGCGCTAAAACAATAGGTTATACTAAATTCACACTCCATCCGATTCCAGAGAATAGAATCTAATTATTTGTCAGCCATGGTTTCTGCACAGCCTGAGAAAGACATGAGCCAAATAACGCCACCAAGGAAACCAAGAGAGCTTAACTTGAGATTACCAAGATCCTACACATCGCGGCATTATCGTGATTAGATACACCTGAAAGAAGAGGCCCACAAAACGTAGACATCATATAGATTTTCCCTTTTTGAAAAAATTGTTTTAATTTGCCATTGGAATCAACCACATGGTCATGAACATTTTCTTTTAGTCAAGTTCATTTGAGAGTTAATTAAGAGCCTAGAGTTCTGGGGAAATAGGAGGAATGGGATTATATGAAGAGTGGCCGGAGAAAATGCAGGGCACACAGTTACCTCTGAATTGCAGCAGAAATGGTGAATGTTTTTTCAGTTTAAGTACCTCCCAAGTACTGCATGGCTGTTTAGCTGACATTCAGATGTGACCGGGCACACTGTATATTCATGTGCTAACTCCAATCACTCTGCTTACATAAATCACTCCATCTCTAAACTGGATTTAGAGATTGGCACCAGCAGCCCTGGCTTGCCTTTGAGGTTGAGTCAAGAAGGCTGTCTGAGCCCCAGAGTTCAGTCATTAATTCAGATTCCACGATATGCAAAGAATCAACTCCGTACAAAGCACTTGCCTAGCCAACGTAGCGGAGCCCAATACATGAGGCCTACAGTCCCCTCCTTTGATACATGGGATAGAGATGTTAAAGCCTATTGAACCCGCAATGTCTTACATGAGCGCTAGCTTGCCATTGAGTTTAGTCTACTGGAGCATTCCAGAGAAGTACTGCACACAGCAGGAACATTCCCAAATGTCAGTCTCACAATGGCTGGAAAGACGCCTTAACTATTAATCTCTCTCCATCAGCCAATCAAGCGATCAAGCAATTGTCATTTCCTGAGTTTCTGGAAATGTCTGGAAGAAGATGAGAACAATAACGAATAGAGTTTTGCCATCAATAAGTTTGTCACCTAAGCAGAGAAACTCAGGAAGAAATTAGAAAAGAATCAAATGCTAAATTCTGGAGAATTGCCTTTAAGCTGTGAGAAACCAGAGCCCCAAATGGGTCAGAATTATGGCAAAGGCCTCAAGAAGATGATGGGAGTTGAGCTGGAATGAGTAATGTTTGAATAAGCATACTTGAGAAATTTCAAATAAATCCTAAAATGGCCTCTTCATATCTCTTAAGAAAAGTGGTTTAATTAACTTGGAGCTGTTCAACACAGTAAAAAAAAAAAAAATTATTCTGGCCTCCCACATCTGTTCTCAGGTGCTTTATTCCACCCTCACATTCCTTACAATATGCAAAAGCTGAACGTAAAGTTTTAACATTATTTTAGTGCCTGAGTTATTTTCAAAAAATGCCACATGACCATCCATGCATTTAGGACTAGGGCACAAACACTAAGTGAGGACTTACTCCACGCAAAAGCTCACTTCATGCTAAATTTGCCACTGGAATCAATCACATGGTCACAAACATTTTCTTTTAGTCAAGTTCATTTGAGAGTTAATTAAGAGCCTAGAGTTCTGGGGAAATAGGAGGAATGGAGTTATATGAAGAGTGGCCGGAGAAAATGCAGGGCACACAGTTACATCTGAAATGTATGAATACTTTTTTTCAGTTTAAGTACATATGGTGAATGCTTTTTTTCAGTCTAAGTACATCCCAAGTATTGCTAAATTTCAGAGTTTCATTATTCATTCAACAAATATCTGTTGGATGCCTGCCAGGTACCAGGCACAGTCCTAGGTACTCTGAATTTAGTGGAAGAACAAGACACAAGACAGGCAGTCTCAGCCCTCCTGGCGCTCGTGCAGGTGCGAGCTAGAACACTTCTCAGGTTGTCTGTCTTCATCAACCAGAAATCAGCCTCCTGGTAATGAGTAGTGAGTCCCAGGACCAACAGAGAACTAGCTTACACCTTCTTCCCATATACCCTGCACAGGTTTGAGGGATATAATGCCTCTGCTTAGTCTTCTCATTGCTGACCAATCTTCCTACAATATGGTTACATTCTTCTCATTGCTCTATCATCACTCCCTTGTTCGGACTCTAGCATTCAGATCTGGAAACACTGATCCCGGGGTCAAATACAGTATCTGATCCCGGAGTAAAATGCGGTATCTGATCCCAGGGTAAAATACGGTATCTGATCCCGGGGTCAAATACGGTATCATGAATACGGTATTCAAGAGTAAAGGAGAACTACCAACCATCGTGAGCCCGATGTCAGACTTCTACCAATAAAACCTAACAAATCCGCTGCTGTAGTTTTCAGCCACTGCATAACCACTGGCATATAAAGAATATAAACCCCACACAGGTAAAGATTTGACTGTTTCACTACTGTCACCCCAGTGCCAAAAGAAGAGCATGGCACATAGTTAATTGGTGAGTATCAAGGTTTGGGCCAATTAAATCGCTGCATCATTTTAATTTGAACGTCTCCCAAACACAATCTCGTTTCTTTCTCGGGCTGATATTGTGAGAGCTTAATGCCTTCACCTTTAGCTTCATTAAATCCAGTCATTAGGGATTCCACGCAGGGTTTCCGATGATCGGCAGTGTGGTGAATCTTGATTTCCTCATCTATTGTTCTTATTATCCCTCCCAACTTTGGGCCATCTGTGTACTTGGTACATATCCATCCCATGTGTCTTCATTCAAATTCCTAATTAAAATTTTAAATGGAAGGTTACATGTCAGAGCTCCACGGTATTCCACCAGAGACCCCCATCACGATAACCATGCCATTAATCAGCTGGCTCCCACTACTGTCTAGCTGCAGACCTGGCAGTTCTATCGT